TATTGATTGATTTGATTTTACTTAGTCGAATAATTCATACACTAAAAATAATCATGTATTTTTACAATATTAATGCTGATAGAACTTATGATGCGTGCAGTTATCGCTGACACAAAAAATTGTTTTGTTTGACGCTCATAAAATCATAAAGATTATATTATCTATTCTTATGCTAACATATCGGTTAGGATGACATTTTAATTGCTCGTAGGGAGGGAATTGATATCAATCTTTCATAATAAGCCATTTAAAAGGAGAGTTTTAAAACAAGCAGGACTCAATTTTTATTTCTTTCCTATCGGTATACAATTACAGTAGCGACTATTTTGCTAAGGTGTGTCCTATCGGAGTAATATCAGATAATATTAAAGCTAATTTAAATATTGAAAATTTAAACATTTTTCTTTGAATCTGATTGACATTATTAATTTACCAGAAGCGAATTAAAGTCAAGATGTAGCTAATGGTAGTGAAGCCATTAGAATTGCAAATTCCGTTGCAGACCCTATAATTATATTAGTATGAACTAAACTTTTTCCGAGCGGTCTTTGATATTTCTATACGTAAAAAGATAGAAAAAACTACGGGATTACTAAACCATTTTTTCAATTTATTGTTAACTTTTTCTCATGTTTTAATCAAGTATGCTCCTGTTTTGGTCACAGATTTTGTTGATTATTAGAAAGAAAAAATCAAATTTTCATGATACTTTCATGAAGTCCTATTCTTTATTTTGAAATAGATCACCAAACGGTAACATGCCATCTTAGATCTGCGGTTTACAAACGTCAGAGTTATCATAATTTCGTAAATTTAAAGCGTTTTTATCTCAATATATGTATGAAACAAATTTACTGTAGATTGTCCATGGCTAGTAACGATAAAGCTGTTTTTCTCTACTTTTGATCAAAAAGAATTACCGTTACTACTTGAAATAAGGCATTTATAAATTGTAGCTATCTGTTATGATACAATACGATTATCATGTTGCTGTCTCTAATCATAGTAATTTTCTACAATAGCTTCCAGACCTAAGAAGAATACATATTAGTGACATTTATGAAATACTTGATAAGCGAGCAATAAAATAATAAATTTCAATTTTGTAAATGGTGATACTCGGCGATACAGGGTTATTTGGCTTCATTAACTGTGGATTTTGATGATCTACTTAAACAGATTAACAAAATCAGTTTGTCGGATCGACAGCTAGAATTGATTTTATAAATAGGCCTTTACCCCCATTTTGACCCTTCACTATTCAAAACTAACTAATTATTAATAACTGAACAATGTTAGCAATTATAGAAATCTAATAACAACAAGTTTATGATGAATCGCGGCTAAGAGATTTATCTTATATATAATAGTTGATCTTCTCACTGCAATCGGTCACAAGCATGAATTTATAGCGAAGACACATAGAAGATCTTAATCTGATATATGTTGCAAAGCTTTGGACTGTTTCGATCAATCTGGGCTTGAATATTGATTGATGATATTTAATATCTGCAAAATATTATCATTAAACATAAGCACGTGGAAATCTAGCCTCTAAAATGAAGAAAAAAACTATGATAACTATCTGCATTGATATAGAACGGTTACATTTAACTGCTACATAGTGTGATCCTGATGAAATTACTTAAATTAATTCCTAAACATCCTTCGAACCGACAATTATAATATCAGTCACTGTCTGCTTGACTTAAATATTTTGCAAGTCAATAGATATGAAGAAATCATTTAAAAATGGTCCATTATAATCTCATCGTAAGTAAATTGTCATCTAGATTGAAGTAAAGGTACGAAAAATTGGTATCCTGATATCGTATTAATTTATCGATGAAATGGTTGTTTTCATAGTAATTAAAAATAAAGTTTATCCTATCGTTACAAAGACATATTGCTTACTCTTCATCTATGACGGAGAAAGTCTACAGAAATAGGAGTATATTGCTATTAGAATTTGTATACAGCATTAACGAGTAGTCGGTTGTTTAGATGTTATTTCACGATCTAGCACAAAACAGTTTATTTCCAATCAGTAAAAATATTGGAAGTTATTGCTGACCAGACTGTCATTGAATCAAAAACGATTATCATTTATACATGGACTGAAGTGGATTAAAGGTGCAAGCGAAATTTGAATAGAATATGCAGAAGGCAGTAGTTTAGTTTCGATACAGTATCTAAAATACGTATTTCACATGGGCAATAATAAAGAGTTTGTTACAATAGAACTAAAACTTCATGAGTTTATATAGTACACTTGAATAGTATGTTGTAGTAGAATAATGAGTCAGAGTTGGTCGTGTAGGTGGAAGATCATTTAATATAGAATTGAATTATTATCGCTTGAAAGATTGGTCTCTGTGCTAAGTGTGGCTTTTATTGTAACACAATTCAATATTTTATATCTAAAATATGCTCATCAAGGTGATCATCCTTAAGTTAAATTTGTAGTCATAAAATGTAATATTAGTTTACAATATGTATAAAAGAAATCTATTCCATGGTAGCCTTTTGCGCTATCAAAGATAGAATCACCCACAAGAATATCTTGGAATGAAATAAAGTTCGAGTTTAAACATTTTCTAATAAAAATAATTTATTAGATTCAGTCCTTCTTGTATTAGACCGGATAATAAATGAGTTAATGTTGATTTTTATTCCTTCTTGCCTGATAACATTCGTCGATCATATGATAAGCACGTTTCTACTTTAAATGAAGTTAATTATACTATCGTTAATATACTACATCATGAAATAAGTGTTAACCAACAGTATACAAAAATACTTGCATTATACATAATAATTTTTAAACGCAATCTATTCTGTGCGTATTTGCACCGACTGCGATCGAGATCACACACGAACAATTTTATTCGAATTGCGGGCATTCTTTAAGAGTAAGAGTATATAACGAGTTAGCATTGGTTTTTTAAAGTTTAGGTATAAAAGATAATTAATCATGAATCTGTACGTTAGAATGGCTATTAGTAATAACAGGCTACCAGTATGATATCCCATTTTTTTCGCTTATTATGACTTTCAGTAAAGCAAGTTAACTTTGTTTAAAGTGATAGAAAATTTATTTAGAATATGAAAAGCTACAGAATGGATTGAACTAATATTGAATCGATTCTCTGTAAAACCTGTTTTATTGTAGGACATAAATCCTATTCAAGCGGGCAATACAGTCGGTAGTTCTATTACAGAAAAGGACTGATTTATTGTCATTGATTTCTTTCGACAAATTATAACAGTATAGCGATTTAATTACATATGTATGCAAAATAATAATTCTACAAATACTGCCCAAAACCGAAATTTCTGATTTATTTTGAGATACATTTCAATCAGATTCTCCTAATATTGATGCAGTGAACTATTTTACATTGATTATCTGCCCTTCTGTGCTACCATCATCAAATAGGGCTAGACTATAGAGAAGAATGTAACTCCTTCAGGATACATTTGCATCTATATTGCTATCTTTAACAACTGCTCTGATGAACTTTTTATTATTATTAAATACAATAGTTGTCCGTTCGACTAACTTTCGTACACCAACTAATCAGTTTTTAACTTAATTAGTGAATTGAAATAGAATTTTAAAAAATCACATTTGATTATAACCAATAGTAACGCTAAATCTTAGTCTCTAACCATTTTGGGCTTTATTGAAACGTTTCGGCCATGCCTAGTTGCATCCCACTCCATCAATTTTTCTATCGATTGGCTATTATAATATATTTATTTTAATAATACGTAATGATTTATTTCCGGTAAGTATAAAATCGATGAAGCTAAATAAGATGACATAAACAGGGTAATCCTGAGACTTTCCACCATTCTACCGTTGTAGATACTCCTAAAATCAATGATGATATTAGCTAAAATTACTCCATAGAATTGCTATAAAATTCCATATTCTCATTTATAACGCTAATCCTATGAATACTTTAAAGCAATACAATTTTTACATATTGTAATCATTAAAAGGTCCTTATTTTCGCATTTTACTTAGAGAATTGTAATAAAATTCTATAAAAACATTTTATAATCCAACAGTAAATTTGCAAAATTCCCACTTCAAATACTAAGATTACGGCAAAAAAAGCTATCAATACCCGTTTTGACATTTAACTACATTAATACAGTGCTCAAGCTATTGCAAGGTAAAGCGGTCAATTTTTTATGTCTCATCGAATCGCATACTATATAAATTGCACTTAGCTTGCCCACTGACTGCTTACGTGCTTTGTTTTTTCGATACTAGATTGATAATTAGCATTTTTATTAATTAAAATAAATCATAACTTCAAATTGTATTGATATTTTATCAGTTTCTTCAGGATTTTCTTTAGTGCTGTGAACTTGCATTATGTTTCTTAGATGAATTTTATTCAGGTAACATAAATAATTAATCATATATGGGTATAGGATAAGCCAATATGATCAATGCTCATATTGGCTTATTCAATACCTTTGCAGTTATATTATTATTGTTCATATTATACCTTAATCTTCACAAAACTTTTGACGTTATTTGAGCCGTGAGTAGAGTCATCTAATGTAATTGCTTAGAATGATTTATCAATATTTAAAATACAGTTGTAATTATTTCCAATAAACAGTATTGCTAATCACAGAATATAATCTAGATTCATCAGTTGTTAAACGTAATAATTCTTTGATATTAATAACATCAAAAGTATCCTAATTTTTAATGTAAAACGATTCTTGTGATATAAACTGCTCAAATATTCCTAACGAATGCACCTTATTATCAATTGGGATTGAAATAACCAGTGTCATGAAATACCAGTTTAAAATCATACCTATTCTTCTTAGAAGTTAATATAATTGCTCGATCGATTAGCAATTCACCAATTATTAGCATAGAAAGCATTACTTCGATATTTTTGAGATTCTGATTATAATAGCAGATTCAAGTAAATTTTTCAACCTGATCATACTTAAACATTACAAACATGGTACGTTATACTAGTTTTTCTTAAATTTTATTCCTATATCTACAGTATGATATCATACCTTGTTATATAATCATAATCATGACATTTCGTCCTCATTTCCAGGTGCATATATTGCAAAAATTTTGAGGCTTATTCAAGAAAATTCCGTTGCGATCTTAATAATTACGTAGTGCTCCTCGAATTGCTCTTCTATTTGCTAATTCAATACGTATAAAAAACGATGCCATGATAATACTTAAAGCTGATAAACAACTATTCATTTCACATTTATTGTTATTATTGACACATAACTATTGGATATAACAGCCAATGCAATCTGTCCTTTAATTACAGTGGGCTACTTTATCAGTCTTAATTTTAACGTCATTACAAGTACATCATAAGCTGATGTTGGGATATTGTGATATAGTATCCCCTCTGAAACTGATTCAATTCTCATTCAGTTTATTAGTCTTGAAGCTGAATTGACATCGTGATATCTCTAAACCAGAGTTGCTTTATCAGTTGTATTCGTATCATGTGATGACTGCATAGACGATGAAACATGCCAACAACAGCTTAAATTAAAGTTAATCATTCTATAAAGAATGATCATTTTCTTATTGTCATAAACTGATGTTGCGAACTACCACACTAAACTAATAGATTACTTATGCCATGCTTCACTACACTTGGAGATCTACTGTACGGTAGTTTTATACTACTTATGGTCACTCAGGGATAAAACTGTTCTACAAGATTAGTATAGTTTTTATTAATAGAGTAGCCGAGTACCTTCTCCGACACGATCTAATAAAGAACTCAGGAACTGAACATTCGCTCGTCCTTTTATACCCTTCCACTAAATTTGTGGTGCACGCATAGTAACCTGACAATATAAGATTTGCACCATTTGTATAGGAGGACAAGCCCCAAATAAACTATATAGTTTACTATAGATACAAGTACGTAAACAACTTTAATTAGCAATAACTAATTAATAGTCAATTAAACCCTTGAGGCTCAGCACGATAATCGCACGTTCGCAGCGGGTGCTAACGTGCCGCCATTATTAATATCTATATAGGCTCTACTAATTAATTGCAAAATACATTTATGCCTTTGTTGTCTAGCAATCTAGACATTATTAATATTCTTAATTTCAATTATCAATTACCGATATGATCCATTAGCTAAATACTAACAAAATCTGTTTAATTAGCAAGTACGGTGCTTTGCTCCGTAGCACTTATCGCATAGCAAGCAAGTTCAACTGATAATAATTTTTTTTTAGCTATGCTTTATTCTTGATCACTGCAAAGAACTCATTAATTGACACTTAATATCAATATTTTTTACTCATAATGCAGCTTTTCTGTCCATTGGCCATGAAATATTTGTATGATTACATTCAGCAGCCGCCGATTAAAATAGCTATTTATGGGCCTGTCTCTTCTCTTTGCTGTGAATCAGTTTCATCTGTTGCTAAATATTGGAATCTTGTCCAAGTAAGTACGAAAAATTCATTAAGGATATTTCACCACTATGAAACAGAAAATCTAGCTTAGTCCATTTATTTTGTGCGAGACATAGTAAAGTACTGTATACATCATCTAGAAATTAACCGAGTAAAAATATAAGGTGCTTAGAACTGAATGAGCTGATGTTTACAAATGTTAAAACTCTTTTATCTTTACAGTTAGGCCATAAAATACACTGTACAATTGTGGTGTAATTGGATAATTTATTGACGTTTTACAATTAAACGATTCGATTCGATCAACAGGGTAACTGTCTATTTTACTTTCAGATTTCCAACGCGGCTACAAGCGCTACACTAAGCGATCGAAAATTATATCCATATTTTTATAGAACAGCTTTATCAGATGTTGCATATAACGTTGTTCGCCAAGAGTTATTTCGGCTTTTTAATTGGGATAAAGTAGCAATAATTCATCAAACCTTAAGTCTTTTTCAAGCGGTAAGGAATAACCATCTTTTTCACCTTCCAAGGATTAGTGTTCATTTTTATATATCAGGCTTTCCTGTTTAGGCTATATTTAAACTTACTGAAAATATTTAATAGCTGTTGGTGATTCTATAGCAAATAACTGAAATAAGGATGCAAAACATACGAAATTTAGATTAGGATAGCATTAGTTTGATATCGGACATCTTATTTAGTATTTCTTAGCTATCAGTTCAATTACAACTATTTAATTTCCTATTGCAATAACAGTCTGCAGCTGATTTAGAACATATTCTAAAGAAAGGAAATATCACTGTTGTTGCTTCGGAAGCATTTGCACAATTTCCAGAGCGACATGTTCCTCTGCTTAAGGTACTTCTACGAATTTCTCGATCTGTTATCATTACCATTATAACAACATAAATGAATTTGAAATAAAACTACAACAACAATTATTGAATTATTTGCTACAGCGAAATCATTTCCGAGCTAAGCTATGGTCTTGTGTGATAAACATCGTAAAGCTTTCATGCTAGCTCTTTACATTATTCAAATGAAACAAAAAATGTGCCCTTTAATTATTGCCTTCAGGATAAAGACGCTAGAATAATCATTGTCTATGCTTATCCAGATATGGCTCAGAGAATCTTTTGCACGGTCAGCTTTGATTAAGGATATTAAAATCATATTAACATTATTTCAAAATAATTAAGCATTAAGATCACCAAGCATATTTGACGTTCTATGCTCTTTAATAAATTCTAAGCCTTTTGCTTATTAATCTAAATACGATGCAATACAGACCCAATTTAAGTCAGTTGTACAGTTTAAGATAACTCGTAATATATTTTAGACATCATAAACTACGGTACTATGTTTATTATAGTCATTCAAATTTTAGTTTGGATAACCTTCGGCTAAATGATAAAGTTAAATTACAGCAGTAATTTTAGTAATGATACATAACTGTAGACCAATGATAATACTATAGTAAGGATTTGAATGTCGTTTGCTTCGGTTAAGATCTAATCAGTATTCTAATACTTCTATTGGATTCGATGATAGGCATACCATTTAAATTACTATGGACCAAATCATGTCTGGTTTTTACTTGGATGGTACTTTGATAACTGGTGGAAAAGTGATTTATCCAAGAATACTAATTGTACCGAAGAGCAAATATTAAAAGTTATGGACGGTTACTTTGCTGTGCTTGGTGTTGAATTTGGTTTCGAAAATGTGACTACCATTTCCGGATTGGTATGCTTTGAATCAGTTATTTAGTATTGATTTTTAAGTATTAAATTGTTTCATATAGCATATTATTTTTTTTATTATTGGATATGAATCAATCCGTGTGTTCAATCGAAACGCGTAGACACCGAAGAAATATCTTGAAGAATATAAAAATTTCCATCCTGATTACTACCTTGCAAGTGTACATACTTGGGCTTATGATGCTGTTTGGTCACTGGCATTGGCTCTTAATAATACAGAGCATATCCTGAGACAGAACGGTCGAAATTTAACCCAATTTCATTATAATGACAGTAATACAAGACAAATTTTAATGGAATCATTTAATCAGTTGAGCTTTCAAGGAATTAGTGTGAGTCTATTAAAGGATTATTATCGTAAAGAATGCACGTTCATTCAGCGTTTATTCTGTACTAGTTAAGATTTTACAAATGAAGGAGCAGCAATACACAGATTTGCAATCTATTATTTGTCTATCATTTAGTTCTCCTCTTGGGTTTTAGTATTTTCCATGTAAACTATTTTATTTTATAGTACCGTATTATACCCATGACAAATATTAGTTTTTTCATTTATACTGTATTATTACATTGATATTGATCTTAGTTTTCACCCTTTTAGGGTCCGGTTTCTTTTGAACAAGGCGAAAGAGTCGCAGACGTTAGAATTCTACAGATGATAAGTAAGATTCAGAAGCCAAAAAGTATTGTAACTTCTTAATATTGATTATGTCTTTAAACGGTCTTGCTGATATTAGCCTTATAATTGAGTATAAGTACACTCGAAGAAGCGTAATACATAGATGAGCTAGCAGTATTATGCAAAAATACCGTAAAAATGGTTGCATTCATTTTTAGTAGGCTAATAATTCTTCACTTAGCAAGTAATTTAAATTCTATCTCTTTAAACCGTAATAACCTCCATTTTCTTTTAATTTACACTATCTTTGTATTTATCTTTAAAAGTGCAATGCATTTATTTATTACAAGGAATAGTTAACCTAATATATTGTTACTTTGCTATTCAATTTTAGCACGGATTAAAACTATAAATACTGTACAAGTTGGGTTATATGACAGTCATCAAAACGAAATACGACTTGGATCTCCTTACAATCCCGTTTATTGGAGAGGTTATTAAATCCAAATCTTCGCAGTGTCGCTATTAAATGAGATATAGTTTATAGAAAAGATTATTATTTAAGTTCAGTTTCAATATTTTTGTATATTGATATTGGCCAATGTGTCATTTAAAAAATTGAAATGTTTGGTTTCATTATATTATCATTTCCTAACAGGCGGATATATACCTAAAGATGAATATATACGAAAAACGATCATTCTTCGCATTTCTAGTCCAATATTTATTGCGTTTACCATACTATCTATTCTTGGTATTATACTATCCTTATTCTTTTTTGTATTCAATGTTTTCAATCGAAAGCTAAGGTAAAGAAATTTATACAAAATGAAAAGTATTTCTTTGCCCTCTTCATTCAATATATCGCTAATGATAACAAATTTTTAACCGATCCAGATATATCAAAATGTCCAGCCCTAATTTAAATAACGTGATCTTGGTTGGCGGTGTGTTATGCTACCTATCAGTTATTGTTTTTGGCTTAGAAAGTTATACAATTACTTGCCAAATTCGAGGTTGGCTGCTGGCTATTGGTTTCACGTTATCGTTTGGTTCTTTATTTTCAAAGACATGGAGAGTGCACAGAATATATCATAATAAGCACAAAATGAGAGTGGTGGGATAAATTCTATGATTAAATTGTATGAATACAAGTGCTATCCTTTTAGCTGAAGCATTTTTTACCTACTCTACTAGGTCATCAGAGATACCCATTTATTTATTATGGTATTCTTTTTGGTGATGATCGATGTTATTATATTAATGACTTGGCAATTTGTCGATCCATTATACTCAAGTGAAATCATCTTTTCAACCCAGGTACAATTTCGATTATCTTAATATTAATCGGAGTAATTGAATCCTATCGATTTTTAGTTAATATTGTTAATTAACGACAGTATTCGATTAAGTAAGTAACACTTTGCATCATTGAGATAATATTTATCGTGAAGGCTATACTTTTAAAATTTTATGAGACCCGACATAATAAATAATTCGATATCGTTTTACGTCAACATCGATCTTTTATCTACGATAACACCAATAAGAAATCTTTAATTACAGTAACTAGTGATCAGCCATTGTATCATTTATGGAATTAGAATAATGATTTGATTAATTATAAATATTGGGATTAACAACCGTAATTTGACATTCTTGATGCAAAATACCTAGGTCGATCCTACAAACATTGAATACTTAATAATCTCCAAACATCGAGTTTGCATATGTGGACATTATACAATTTGGCTGGGCATTTTATATAGTTATAAATTTCTATTATTAATATTTGGCGCTTTCTTGGCGTGGGAGACAAGAAATGTTAGTATCCCAGCATTGAATGACTCCAAGTACATTGGCTTATCCATTTACAATGTTGTCGTGTTATGTGTGGTTGGAGTATTAATAACTATATTCGTCAATAACCAAGTGGATATCAGCTTCGCTTTGATAGCTTCATTTATCGTTTTCTGTACCACGTTGATGAGCTGTTTTGTTTTTGTACCTAAGGTAAACTATGCACTATACGAGTAGTTGCAATGTTCAAGCTAAATTTATTAATGCAGTTGGCTAATGGCAATGATTCCATTGCTATTAATAGTAAGATATGATGATTCTTGATGAAGTAGTAACATACTCATGGTACAGCTAGTTAGAGTAATGTAGGTGCTGACTTTTTGAACTGTGCAGATTCGATATTTCAAAACTGATCCAGATGAACAGAAAAACATGATGGCATCAAGATCAGTGGGTAAGGTTGCCTCAGTTGTACACCAAAGCTATTTACCGGCATCAAGAGATGATGTCCTAGTACTGAAACGACAATTATCAGAGGTAATTTATGCAATGTAATATGATTTACTATTTAGCCGTAAGATTATACGTTTATGATATGATCATTAACCGATACTCATTGTTGCTTTTGCACTGATATCCTATCGGTGTTATGTGCTATTGAAACTAATAGTACTTATTCTAATTGCCTCTACGTACTTTAGCGAGATAAGGAAATTCAAAATTTATCTGATATTATCAAAAAGTATGAAAACAAAGATAGTGTTATACGAGACAGCAGCCTAGTCAACGTTGCTTCTGCTGCAGCAAACTCATCAACTAGAACATCAATTGATCTTAACTGGGCGAGGAAAGAAGCAATCGAATAACTAAAGACACTGTATAATTAAAATGAGATTATTAATTACTTCGCCTTTAGAGGAAAAATAAGAAGTTTGTGTCAAGTATAATGTTTTTATTTGAAGATTCAGATATGTTTGGCCACATTAACCCAAGTAAAGTATTATACTACCATCAATTTTAGTTGCTTGTAATATGGAAACATTTAATATTACCGTAATTTCATAAAATTTTACAATCTTTAGTTTTAGCTGCATAAAGTAATACTCGTATTCAATTTAAATCATAATTATCAATTGAAATTTAGCGATACTAAAAAGCAAGAAATATGCAGTTGAAATGCATTTTAAAATAATAGCTACATCGAAGATAAATCATTAATAAAAAATTAAAACTGCTAAATTGCAACCATCGATCTAAATTATAATTAATTGTACAATTAATTGATGTATCTTTCCGCATATGCTCCATTAACAGGATTAAACGAGTTGATAAACATTCCTGTAATAACTGTTTAGGTATCAAATTCTTTCAGACAATGATTTATGCCATCTGAAACGTTTAAGTTTGTGCTCAAAATTTAGAGAGATGATCTGAATTAATAACGATGCAATAGATTATTTGACAAATATTCTCTTATCATAAACTTTAAAATACTTTTATTTACTGCACATACGCTTCACTAATATCATATATTCGTTTGGAAACAGGATATTTGACGTTATTAAGGGACGAAAAGTTATATACAGCGAATACAACATTAAAATATACTTTCGTACTGAGAATGTTCCCTTCTAAATTATAACTTTACATCATCAGACAGTTTTGCCATCCGATATGTTTACTATTACAGTATGAAGCGAATAAATTTAGGGTGTTCACTTTTATAAGAATCCTAGTATGATGCGTCATTAGACACCAGTTTTCATATTGCAATATGTTTATATCATAAAAAATTAAAGTTCTTTATCAATATCTTAACAGGCACAAAATCAGCAATGTCTATATAAACTTAATACATCATGCTGTTTCGTAGTTATGTATGATCAAGGTGTTGGATAAAAATCAGTAACTTTTCCTATTCAAAGATTTCGGGTTTTTCTCAATACCTTTATTGTTAGCTGCTCTTAGTAGCATTCGCTTCTCGATTAATGTCTGCGTGTCAGGAAAGTCTGTTGACCAGAAATCGGGAGGAGTATCTGGTCTGCTGCATACAGCTCGATGCCTAGAGCAGTTTTTCATTCTTTCACGTAATTCTTTTTCACTCAAACCTAACCCTGAGTAATACTAAATAAGCCATAAATCCAAAAGTTAAAAATAACATAGCAATATAATACAAAGTAACTTATTTAAATTATAGTTATTTTAATCGCTAGGAATTATTTACAATCATGACCTTCTTGCACAAGTCACACGCATGCCCATCTAATTGTCTACGTTCGTTCTTCTTTCGGACTGTTTCAGAGTACTTAAAATTTGGCTTCTTGCTATAATAAAACGAAAGAGGAGTATCTATATAAGAACTATAGATTTTGTGCAATAAGTAAGCATAACTATGAATACCCATGATTCTTAAAAGATTGATCGATCGTTGTGATAGGCAATTTGATTTTCATTTCCTGACAATGAATGAATACGCTGTATTATCAGTTTTATATAGCATAAGAGAGTTCACAACTATAGTATAGCGTGCAATATCAAGTTACATTTTTGCAATGCACGTCTAATTTACTTACAGTATCTCGGATACTTTCTGGTGTTTTTGGACTATTTCGTTTTGTTAGACTTATAAGTTCGATCGCGTCTCCATTATTTTTCACGGTAATTGTATTGCCAAGTTCTTCCAAATTCGAATCTATGTCGCTAAAAGAGGATATGCGAAAAAAATAATTCCGTTAATAGCAACGTAGCAACTAAGTTCGTTATATAGTTATAGACCTAAGATTGTCGGAAGATTTCTGTAGTCCTTCGGCTTCATCTGCCCAAAAAATTGATAATAACGATGAAATCATTTATTTATTGACCATGAAACCTTTCAGGAACGTTCTGTTATCATTGCCAAAACGTACTTACCAGTTACACAGTGTAATTCGTTCTCATAATTTTCGTTAGTGTTACGGAGGCCTTTATTTAAATCATTGAATGATTTCGTCTCATTTTGGTCAATGTAATTGTTGTTAGCATCATGAATGCCACTTAGAGTTATATCATTGTCGGCTATCTCTTCCTCTTTTTCTTTGATTTCGTCTTCAATCATATCAGGACAACAAGCAACTAATCTACCTTCTCTAGGCTTATAAACCGGTGATGACGGCTGGGTCATCGTCAAGTCTATGCTTGCTTGCGAATCAATAATAGGGACACTTTCAGTTATATCTATTTTAAAATCGTTATGATGACTATCTACGACCGGTAGATTGCAGTTTGTGGTCCCAGTCAGGTGGTGTCTGTATCGCTGCCTTTTCTTATTAAATTTTTTTAGTTTCATTGGTTTATGTGTATCATTCTCCGTTATTGTTGCATCATCATCTTGAATTTGCTTTTCTGTACTTTCATCTACGGCATTTAATTCATCTTCTGAAATTGGACCGTGCTTTCTGTGGAAAATAGCGGTAACTTTAAGATAATAAATTAAAGAGACACACCGACTGCATGCAATCACAAAAATTAATAGCAGTTCTATAAACCTTTTTTTGTTATTTGTCGAATCTGATAATTCTGGATCAAGAATTTTATCAGACTGTAATAAATCCACCAGGACCCCCATCTCACAATCTACAAAGGAAATTATTACTTAAAGCTTTGTGATTGAAATCTTTACGAATCTCTTCTTAGTTAACTAATCCATCAGGTAATTTAAGATAATTATAGAACGTTTTAGATCTATAATTTTTAAAACTCTTTATTATTTACATACAACAAATCATCTAGTAAACAGATTCAAAACTAACTTGGAATAGATTTTTGTCTATTTAATAGTTTTTCCGTGTACCGCCTCCATTCCGTTTCTTTAATCAGATAGTTCTCTCTATCTCTATTCCAAAATATCAATTATTATTTCGCATTCAGGTCAGTTAAGAGTAATAAGAAAAAATTCTACGTTCTTAACGTGGCATATCACGTTAATAGCACATTTACTTCACCGATTCCGTTAGCCTGCTTTTATAAAATATCGCAAAATAGCAAAGTAGCTATGCATGGGGTTACTTTTTCTAGTAGTCCCTGCTATCTAATTATTTCAAAGAGAATCTTACTTTTTGGCACGTTGACGGGCCTTCTTCAATGCTTCAGTTAGCGTTTGAACTTGTTCAACTAAATTCAGATTATTCTCCTTTAATCTATGAAGGGTAAGAATATTTCAAGAACAAGATTAAATGTTTACATTAACGAACTTAATAGCAATAATTGAATATTGTTATATGATAATATGCATGACAGATTGACAGTATATCAACTGGTTCATCAGGTATATCTAACAGTAAAAATAGTATCGCACATTACCCTGAGCTAGTTAAGTCAAGAAAATTATCGATTGCATAGCTGCGAGTTTAAATCATTTCTTTACTATTACTACTGTACTGTATATTTTTTAACCCCTGGTAATGATATATTGTAAAATACTGGTAAAATGCTGTACTACTAGCTTTACCAGCACTTTGCAAATTACGTATAATTAGGCAAGTGCCCCAATTTTTTATCTAGATAGGATATGTTCAACAAGCAGTCTAATATATGCATTTATATTGCGAGCAGTTGGGCATTTCTTTCTCTTCAGAGACTAATTCAGCATAGGAACCTAAGACATTATACGAATTCCATCTGATAAAAAATATCTAATCTAAGCATTGGTAGTTGAACTTGGGATTCGTTAAATCCTACAGTTAGTTTTTCACTGTTACATTAATATTGGTATTCATTTTAAAGCGATCATGTTGTAATCAGTGCTGAGCAAAATAATATTGTTAACTAAGGCAAATTATTATTGGGATTATAAAAGGTTCATTATACATACAAATATAGCCTATTCGACGAGGATGAAATATTAAATTAAGGAGTGGGGAAAAAGCTTAATACTGTATGTAAAAGATTACTAGATGATAATAAGTTAATTGTAATTATGAATATAACGTGTCAGGATACGAGCTGGCGAGGATGAATATCATAGATCGAAAGTTGACAGATATATCATTCACTTATTGAATTAAAGAAGATTTTCTTCAATATACAAATACCCCATATTCAAGGTGCAAGCTCGTGAAATTAAATATTACAGAATGAAGAGTGGAAAAAATGTTTAATATGTGAATAAAATTGTTGGATTATAGCGGATATACAGTGTTACAGCGCGGGTATATACGAATTCGTACATCATAGTCAAGATGCGAGCTCGCGCGAGTAAACATCACAGATTAAGTGTACATGTATATAGAAATTCGTATTAGTTTAAGCCTAATATCTCCATGTTTACCGTAAGTCGTACCAGTTAAAATTATGAATTGTATCTACTATGTCAAAAGTAGGTAAGTTTGAATAGTACTAATTTATCAAAGTGTATGTAGTATAATACTCGTAGGCGAGAATAACAAGGTTTTTTTTACTTTCACTGAACAAATTCACAAGAGTTTGGTATACACGTGCATCTACTTCTACTCACGTTTTCAACTCTTTTTCTACGTCCTTCCATTTATTTCCAATTTCTACGAAAGTAATCAATTAACTACTTCAATCATAATATCCATGAAATTATGTTATAAGATTGTAATAGATATATTTTACGAGAAATTTATTCTATTATAGAGATTTTCGTCCAGTTCTTCCTTACCTTGGATTACACTTTCCAAAAGGTTACGAATACCATCCATGAATCACGGTTTGGAGATGACTGTGATTTGAACGAACTTTTAGTGATGTCAAGCTACAAAAGCGCTCGACGTTTGGGTGACAATATTCACTGACAACACCAATAAAAATTGTTCAGTGAAGAATGTTCACTGAAGAGTGTCCACCTCACCTGTAGCACGTACGTGCGTACTCAACCTACTCATGCGTCGTTCACCATTAAATACGTTGATTTGCAACGGTTCCAGGTTGAATAGTTTAGCAGGAGTTGAGTAATTTGGAATCACTGAATAGAGTTAGCAATGCAAGCATCTGCACTTATAAATGATCGTTTACAATTTCAATTTTCCGCTGCTCTGGAAAGTGTATTAGCATTGAGGATCTAAGCAGGCATACAAATCCATACCGTAAGTAGTACATTCTTGTAATCAGGTACAAAAACTAGTAGTTGAGACTTGTGTAAACACGCCTGCAATAATTTAAGGAAGAACGAGAGTCAATACAGTACTGTACAGTTATGTCAGTATTAATGTACAGTACAGTACAGTACAGCATGCAATACCGTATGAGTGAATGACCTACTGTAGTGTACACGGTACTCTACACTGTACAGTACAGTACTGTACAGTACTGTACTGTATAACCGAAATACTACTGTACAGTACTACAGTGTTCAGTGTACAGTACAGTACTGTACAGTATAACCGTACTATACTGTGTACAGTACAGTATAAAGTGGTAATTTGTGATCGTTGCTGTAGTTACCGTTATTCGAAATGGCGAGCAAAGGTATGAAAGGTAAATCAAATTTAAAGCCAACCGCTTCGAAAGGTGAATATGCTTGCTCACTAAAATTGATGTGCCAAAATGTGCAGGTTTTACGTGCTCTAACATTGGTCATCAACGTTCGTGATAAGTTACCAATCATACAGGTTCCGTAATTCATTCCATATTAAATGATAGTCAGCATGTTTTTCGGCAATTTGTGACTCCATAGTGAATACTTGTATATATAGGTTACGTACACTATACAAGTATGTAAGATGCGCATAGTTAATAAATCAAAGAGCGTTCGATATCGTAAAATAGAATATGAATTCACTCGTATTTATTATAAGCATGCAATTGATATGCTGAATATATTGGAAATTTAGCCATCGTAGTAAACGCGATCATACGGAATTTAGACACTTTAAAATTAATGTATATATAGTGACCGCCATGCTTTGTGTTTATGCCACCGTTATAAATTTCATACAGTATAGTTCCAGGCTTCAATGTATTGCACTTTATTTATTATTATTTCGAATATTCTTATGTAAAGGCGTGTATCACTAATTTGTTAGTCCATGTATAAAGGTACGCTTAAGTGAACTATTTATAATTTCATTTTAATTACATAAGCGATGTCAGAATCCCTCAGAGTATTTTCTTTTCGAGTCTTACATTCAAGATTTAATTTCAAATATCTCGAAAGAAAACATTCCTGTACTGTAAATACACATTCTCTATAGTTGAATATGCTTTATTGAAAGTAGAATTGTAGTCAATGCAACTTTATAGTATAATGTAATTCTATTTTAATATTAAGAATAATACCATAAAGTAAGGCAATAACAAAATTCTATGATTTGCGTAGGTTTAGCACTTACTGGTTTAAACTACTATGATTATTATTACATATCAAGAAATTTAGAAATTTGATTAGATTGGTTTGATTTACTACAGATTCAGGCAATTATGATATGAGTTTGAGTAGTGCAATGCATAAGAATACCATAGTAGCAAATGAAAATATTTAATGTATCTAAAGTTCGTTATTCGAGTTGCATAACGTAGCGTTTTTAATAACAATATCTTAGGAAATCCCAAAATGAGAACTACTAAATCGTTATCAGCCTCAACGATGGGTGGATTGGTAGAAACTAATACATCAGCAAAGTATGAAAGCGATATTTAGTAAATTTTACGTCTTGCACTGTCATTTCTAGTCATAGCCTTAGTAATCAGTGGCAATGTTTTATGTACTTTAATAATTACCTTGAATGTCTATCTATATTTACAATAGAGAAAAAATATGAATAGAATAGCAATACTTTAGGCTTGACCTGTTGTACATAGATGACATTGCATAGTATAAAATTTTACATTGTAATAAACACCGAAAGTCTAAAGCAGTAGTAATATTTATTTGGCATTCTTGTTGGTCACCATCGTATAGTTGAGAAATCTAAATTAATAAATTGGTATGATGTTCCAGAATTAATCAACTAGCAACAGCTGACTTGACTAAAATAGAAAACGAATACATTAAGAATTTGCAACAACAAATTTATTACCTGGAACTGGAAACTGGTTACTTGTATCCTGTCACAAAGCAGATAATAGTGAAGGCGGATTATATACATGCCGTTTTTCATATATTATAGTATATACTTTTTCCATATTAAAATTCTATGTTAAGAATTTCTTAGCGAAGATTTTCTTAAAGGAAAGATCAATTACAAAAAAAACCTAAAGGTATTTAGCTTCTTATATCTATTCCAGTAAATAATTTAAGTCGTGCACATCGCGATAACTTCTTGTAATGATATCATCTTGTTTCCTTATTGCTGCAAGGAGATCCTGAAATGAGCGCTTCACTAACTCAGTTAGACCCTAATTCTGGCGTTGAGGTAATATTTTACATTATTTATGAAGCAGAAGCTTATGATTCAAGTAGTAGTGTTCCTTTCCTTAGCTTTATTTAAATATTTTTAATCTTTCATTAGCTATTTCAAAAGGAAATTCAGCGATTCAGGAAAGAGCTGGATCAAAAAAATGCAGCACTAGAATTAATGGATTCTGAAAGGCAAAAATTAATCGCCCAACTGGATAATGTAAGAGGTAAGCATGTTAATAGATCCGATATGGTTAATCTCTTCGCACAACTTAGATAGAAAACTTGTCTATGTTACGAAAATAATATATTTTTTAATTCACTATCAAGATGCATATCTAGCCGAAAAGAAGAGCTTAATCGAGCAAAATGTTAGCTTAAAAAGATGGCGAGAGGCTCATGCTAAGGATATCCAGAAACTAGAGAAACAAATAGTTGATGCACAGTATGAAATACAGAAAATATCTGTTGGCAAGAGTGATGTTGAAAATCGAATTAAAATATTAGAAAGTCAAGTAAGAAAGTTTGAATTATAGACGATATGCAATTCTGATATATGCATCTTAACATTATGAGATTTTCTTAAAAATAGCTTTCAATTCCTGAATTTTTAGATTGATCAGTACACTGATGAAAATAAACAGCTGACTTTAACGTTAGAAAACAAAAGAAGTGAGTGTATTAAGTTGCAAACTAAACTACAACAACAAGAAAACCAATTATATGGTATCGACAGGGAAACGCAAGAAGAATTAATTAATGAATTAAAGGTACCGTAAGTTTGGCCAATATAACAGGCATTAGCTTACCGAAAACTGAATTCTAATATTTGGTTTAGAGAGAAATTGAAACTTTACGCAATGATCTTAAAAGCGCTCAGATTAATTCTAATCAAGACCGACATCTAAGGAAAAAGGTAATAATAACTTAAAATTTTGAGCAATCTATTTGGCAAATTTAAGTGATTACAAATTATATCCATCTTTCTTTAAAACTAAATTTTTCTAAGGTAGATAAGCAATCTAGTTATACCCATGGAATATTGACGTATTATCTTTATTTGATATTGTATTTTGCAATTTATCATCATTTGATATTTAGTTATTTACTTCTTAACCCAAGAGCGATGCAGTCGCGTTAGATAATAATTAATATTTGCCATAAGTTAAGTATATCAAGACTAATTTTGAAAGTGACTATATTTTGTACTTTACGTAAAGATAGCAGATGACTGCGAGCAATTAATAAAGGAAAATTCCGCTTTAAATACGCAGCTGTTGGAACTACGAAAAAAAGCAGACCTTGTCAGTTAATAATACATAATTTATGTAGAAAGGGCTTCCGCTTTATTATCTTTAGCAACATCATTAGGTATTAAATTCAAAATTATTTACAATAGGACTTTCAGACACGAGATCAGCGAGAGAAGCGAACTGATACTTCATTTCATGAACTTATAACTTTACAAGAAAGTGAAAAACATAATCAAGAGGAAATTAAACGACTGAAAGAATCTTTACGCCAAGAACAACTACGTGTAAAGGACTGTTTATGTCAGGTTTGATATCAATATAGACCATATTAGGACTAGAAATTTATAGTACTTAAAATGTTAAATAAATTAGTCTCAAGAGTTAATCCATACTGGTAATACTTTGTTACGTACAGCTTTCTGTATTTTTCTAATATCATGATTAACTTTGCAATGATAAATATTCATATCCCTAATGATAATAGTTGACATCACAGGAACATATCATCACTAAAGGTATACTTGCATTAATTGAATTTCATTTTTTACCTCCATGTAAATATTTATTAATAACTTTAAATGGATAATAAGTATGAATGGTTTAGTGGATGTTATGAAAGATTAAATACAATATTGATGTTTTTACATTTGGCATCATTATTCTACTTTTTATCTTTACAAACGAACATATACGAAGTTATTAATTAAATCATTGCTGGTACTAATAATACAACGAATATCATTTTTTATAACTTCCTCTAACTATACTATCTCTTCATCAATTAGCACAAATGGACCGAGAAGACGTAAGCCAAAAGCAGATAGACCTCGAAGAGAGGAATAATTTGATCGAATCCGAAAATGTTACCCTTCGCCGAGATATGATAATGCTAAGCGATCGGATTACATCTTTACAGGAAACAGTAAGAATGAAATTGCAAATTGATATGATTATATGTTCAATACTATCTCAGATACATATCAACCCCAAACAAATTTATCCTTTACTACTGTACGACCATTTATATATGGATAAGTTTAGTTTACCATACGGACAGTAATCTATTTAAATCTACCTTAGATTGCACTAAAAATATTTTCATTTTAATTTATTAGCTTGATAGAAGTGAAAACGAATGTAGTAAGCTACGAAGTATGCTAACAGTTAATGAAAAACAGCTATCTGAACTAGCGGCTGTCAAACAACTTCGCGACAGTATGCAAAATGTAAAATGGGATGAATTTCAGAAAGTAGCTGAAAAAATTCAGTCATTTTCAATCGGCTGATCAAGCCAATTATCTGTTATTTTAATCAGGTTAATTGCAGTTATACACTATATTTAAGGATGCATTGTTAGCCGTTCATGATAATGGCAATCGTGTATGCGTATTAAAGATTAATTATTGTATTTAAGTAGGTACTTGCTATTTACTACGAATGTTAGCTTTGAAACTGATGGTAGTATTGTAGGCATGATATATGTGCTGGAGATCAGCATAATTCTGGAATAACTATATTGAGAGAAAATTTTAATACCAGTCTGATTCTCGTTGATATCGCAAAATTGTTATCCCATCAAAGGTTTTGCAAAGCTAGCCATATGGACACAAGGCTGGTACCAGAAAGCCTGTTTTTGTAAGATATCCAAACCAAATTGTATATGTACGGTAATGTTTAACAGAATCCTAATTATACTGTGCGAGTACGCTAAAATTTCACTGATGTTAGCTTGTATATAAATTTAAGAATGATAAAAAATTTTTTTACTATAAATAGTTCTTACTTATAGCCTATATAATTAAAGCCCGAGCTTCATTAACTATACGTCAATACACACGCACATTTATTGATGAAACTATCAACAATGAATAAGCTAACTTTTATTTCCAATAAGGGTACCCCGAACGTTCAAATAATTAATATATCGATTAGAGGACAAATTACTCATATACTTAATTACGAAGTTACGGTACAAAAAATAGAGAATGCAATCGCAAATGCTATCATACCTATCTGCTATACCTTGACATATATGTATTGCAGTAATACGTAATTATAATGATTAGTGAATCATTATAATTTATTGAACCTATAGCTCTTAATTACGGGAGTATATCAAGCCTTTTGTTTTCAGGAAATTTACATCACCAACGGCATAGTATTTTTATCGGAACCTAACTGCACTAATCTAGTCTAGTGAATCATTATGTCAGAGCATTGGTAGAACATGGCTGGAGCTTTGGAATTGTCGGTAACATATATAACCTAAACAAAATGGATAGATAAAATTATCATTACCATCCAGTGGTATAATAGTAATTAATTTTTTTATTGATCAGTTACAGAAACATCAACTGTTTATGATTACGCTAGTAAATGTACTCAAGATGTGCCGGCACTATAGTAAATTTCTGTATTGCAGCAGAATTTTGAATCGAATCATTTATTTTTGCATTGTGGTTATCCACATCTTAGAAGCTAATAACAGGAACGAAAAATAGGTGGAACTTACTTGAATAACAGCAGAGCCACTACATTATTATCGATCATTCATAAGAGGAAGAAAATATTGACATGTATAAATTCAGATTTTTGATTTTAACTTAATCAATAATCATACCTTTTACTTTAGACAAGGCTACATAATTCATAGTGAAACTTACCTTTTCTTGGGAATCATGACGTCTTGAGTATAAATCCAGAGACTAGGTGTATTAGTGTCAGGGACACTAGCTAAGTGTGTAAATGAATGTGGTTCAACCTTTCCTGATTTCACCATACCAAGAGAAATATTGAACATACCGTGCTAACCCAACATGTTACGAGTAATTAAATTAAAAAAAATGTTGTTTATTGTTTTAATTCCTTTTCATCAACACATCTCGCATCAATAGAAATATCTATCGCATCGAAAAGAATTACAGAAAGTCACTAATGCTCAAACATAGGCAGAAAAAGTGACAATTTCATAGCATTTTATTGCATCGCAACATTTATTTTTAAGTGTGCTTACCATAGCACCATTAGCCCAGTGATTTAAATTTTTCTGAAATACAACGGTGTATTTGGAGCCCCCACTATGAGAATAATGAAGATAATTTAGATAACAATCAAGTATTTAATGTCCAACTTTTAAAACATCGTTCAGTCTTGGCTCAGCGGCATTAAGCTTAAAATATAAGAACTGTCAAAATTTATACAGCATCTGCTACAGTAATATAACTGCTACTCAAAATATAGTACAGTACATTCGATACATAAATCAACTTTAGTTGATAGCGACGAATACATAAATCATGTGGCGTAATCTCAGGACAGTAAAATGGCTATTAATTAAAGTATTGCAGGAAAAGAGTCCAAGAGTGCGTTCTATTGTATGGTGCTACACCATAATATTGAGACGAGATTTCAAATAATGACACTAGCAAGCAAAGGAATCATTACGCGATAGTCACGGTTGGTTTCATGGCTTTTTGTCCACCGCAAGGCCCAGTCAATCTGATACATGAGTCAGAAGCTGTAAAAGATGTAATAGTCCATAATTACATTACCAATGTAATTTATCATATAGTGATTACCATAGCAGAAAAAACTAATTATTTATTTTTAAAATTCTAGTTTCACGTGAATGATCAAGTTTACTACTGCAATGGTATTAGACGCTATACTACAGTATACTGGATGTACAGTACAATTAATTAACTGTTTTTTAAGTTCAATAATAAACTAACAATCGTGAGCGAGTGCAGCCAGCTATTGCAGTAAAATATCGATTTCTAATTCAGAGTGCTAGGCGATAACCTAACATATATAGTACAGTATATGATGCTTCTACAACAGAACTACGAAATTATATGATATATTTAAATCGTATCTATTGCAAAATTAACCAGTTATTACAGTACAATTATTTTCAATTTGGAGTTTAAACTATTAGCTGAAGCTATAGAATATTGTGCTATGCCGTTATAACAGTGCAACAGTTACTGCGGTAATACGAGTATCATGAGGACGTACCAGCTTTATTTATGCCTCTCAGTGAGCCACGTTGACGAGGTGACAGTAAACAGATATGAGAATTAACTGCTACGACACATAGAGCAAGAGTAATGATCAACAAAGTCTTCGCCATAACTGATTTCACTTTCAGGTCGTGCCTTGCAAAAAGGAGTAAACAATTTTAATGCTAAATGCAAGCTGCACAAGAACTTGATATACTGTATTGTACAGTACTGTACGGTACAGTATATAGTACACCATTTACAGTAGATTGTTAAGGTACTGTACTGTACTGTACACGTGTGCTGTACAGTATACAGTACTGTAAATCAATAAGGAATCAATTAATTACATCGTTAATATGCACTTGTGCCGTCATTAATTGCTCTGTACAGTACTACTGTATATTGTACTGTACTGTACTGTACTGTATTAGGAGGTGTTAGAGATCAGGTCGGCGTGACCCTACTGACCGTCACATGACTATGGTACGATAAGACAAGGCTGCATTGTTTGCTTCTCACGAGATGGTGCTATATTCTATTTATATACAATAAAACAATGGCGATTACCAGTGCCAAGGCCCCATGGTGTAATGGTTAGCACTTTGGACTTTGAATCCAACGATCCGAGTTCGAGTCTCGGTGGGACCTCTCTGAATTTTTACTTTTTTTAACTTATAAACTAAGTAAATGTTCTCATTTATGGGTTATACTGTACTTTATAGTACTGTACTGTAGAAGATTTTTGTAATCTGTGTCATGCACTACCAGATGGCTTAATAAGTACTGCACTCTTATAAACTAAGTAAATGTTCTCATTCTATGGGTTATACTGTATAGTACTGTACTATAGAAGAATTTTTGTAATCTGTGTCAGCCACTGCTAGTCGGCTTAATATACTGTACTCTAAAGAACTTTATACTAAAGTATCCTGTAATTCAACATTTGAGAATTTCTGGCTTATTATAAGTGATTGCAATAGGGTTGAAGTACAGTAACGCAAATATTTACTGTATAAAAGCTTGGGTTATTGATTCTGCAGTTGGGTAACGACTTAGCTTTCATTCTGCTGAATTTTGAGAATTTCTTGAATTTGATTAGTAAATTAATTGTATGTATTTCTTAAATTGCCTGTAATATATGTTGTATAATTCTTAATTAAAAATATATGAACGCCGCCATTATAATAAAAATAGATAGTAGTCATCAAAATGTGTGCATATGGTAGAACAGCCATTTAACACTAATGAACCTGACAGTGAATACAGCAAGCATTTATCCATTGAGTTTATACAGTAATCACTACGCATGCAAACGACGCAGTGTCAGGAATATCTGCTCAGGATGTAATATACATACAGTAAATTTATAGCGTAACAGACAATAATTACAATTAATCGCAACTATTAATACTTTATGTCCTTAGATCAATTCATTCATAGCAGTAGCAACTTTTAACTGCATTACCGTACGATAAATTTTTAAAAGAACTAAAATTCATTAAAAAAATTATTTTAAATATGTTTTATTTTGTACGTATAATAACGTGGCCATATACGTTCATATGTAATTTTAGTAGTGTTATAAAAAAACATCTCAAATTGCAACCGTTTGAGGAATTGTACATTCTTCAGATGTGTATAAAGAAAAGAATTTAAACAATTGCTATTCGCACAATCAATGTAATTGCAATTCGGCCGGTAAATGCGCTACTGCGCTGAAAGTTTCAGATATAATGCACTGTACATTGTCAACAAACATCTGCACCGGACGACCAACTAATTAATCCAACTATTATTGAAACATCAATCATTGCTTTCTAACTGGTATGGACCTAATTTTTTAAAGTTATGGTTATATAATAGCGATATCATCTCTGTAGCTGCAACAGGTAAAATGTATATGTTTATGGAATAGTTAGACTTTGCGAATGCTGCTAAGAAATACCAAGACAATGTACCAAAGATCAATATATCACATTATTGTGGTAATGTGACTGACAATAATGCACCGTATATATTAGTGGACAAGTTAATTCGAAATGTGTACAGAAGTAGTGTATTGAAATACAAAGACATCCAAATATTACACTTAACGTATTGCTGATAGGACAAAATTATTAAAGATGACGAAAATTTTAAGTAATATCAATGAATTAATTAAACGCCAGTAATAAGCCTCGACTACTATGGATTGTTAAGTATTATAATTTTTTGAATTGCCTATGGGTCTACATCCATCTTTCCTTCAGCATCCTTATGATCATTGTCGCTATTTTTTTCATCTTTGTCACTTGTCGATGATTCTAAAGTCAATACGAATATTTATTATTCGTAAGGGCTTAGCTAAGGCTTTTGTTACATACGCAAGGGTTACATAATGCTTACTTAGTTATTCAACTATGTAGATACTTACGTTCTTTCGATTCTGACGATTTGGTATTATCAGAAGAAGGTGGTGGGGTGTTATCCTGTAAAGTACCGGCCCTAGCAGCAGTCTCTAGAGCTCTTGCAAATACTGTCACATCTGAAAGTATTAAAGAAATTATTATTGCGATCTATCACTCGATAATTTCCTATGCTCTATCAGGCAGGACAAATATACCATGTCTGTTTGTACAATATATGACATATACACGCGGATGCAGATCTCACCTCCTTGACCAGCCGCGTCAAGTGCGTCAGCCATTCCAAGTTGATCCATCATGGAACCAAGCTGACCGGATTGAAGTGCTGTGCTAAACGAACTTAATGCCTACTCCAAGTAATGTTGGTATTGATACATCATTAATTAATGTAATTTTTCACCGCATATATGTGCATCACTACATCTCTACTAGATATCGCGGTGTATATGACTTAGATTAAGAAAGCATAAAAGTTACAAGAATATATCTTTATATCAATACAGTAATCGATGAGATCAGTATTAGTAAACTATACCTGCTGAAAAGGAGGCGACGTTAACGTTTCTCGTAAGCGTTCGCTAGTATTCTCATTTTCGCTACCAGGGGGTAAGAATGGCCGTAACTGCTGCAATAATTGCGAGTTACTACTTAGTGACGAAACTGCAGCTTCATCCAACATCTGATTTAAGTCAACTTCTACTAATAGGAGGGAATATCATAACAATTAAGATAGTTTCATCACTAGCATAATGTATTGAAACATAAAGTAAAATTTTGTCTAACGATTTTCAACTGATACAATACAATTACAAATCTTTCGGAGTAGTGATATCATTCAGAAAGAAATTAATTTTAATATTACTATATTTACAGCATAACAAATATTTCGACTACGCTGCACTACCTTATTATACCGTAAAACTTACCAGGTCTTTGTTGTGAATCCATAGCTTTTCATTGTTTTATTTTTGATTGTTAAAGATATTTCCAACGTATCATTAAAAGTATTCAATGTTAAAATTTAATTCTAAGTTATATTACAGTATCATTATTGTACAGTAATTAATTCTCAAAGCTATTTACCTGGCAATCCTGCTAGAATATTCTGAATGTCACTCAGTTGAGTAGTACGTTGTTGTTGTGGTGTGGTTGTGTTCCTATCATCGGCTGCATTAACAACATTTGGTGTTGCGGTTGCTGGTCGTGAATTTCCCTGGCTGTTCGAGTTACTGGATGCAACTGCAGCTGGTGACGAGTGAGGGCGACTAGGGCGAGATATACCCGAACTATATGTATTATGAAGAAATTCAATTTAAATTCAACGAGGGTTACAAAACGCAGGTAATATAATAGATCTAAGACCGCTTTGTAGTCCAATGTGTTTGTATACTCGTACTTAGGGTAAAATCTCACTTATTAGCAGTTAATAATGATAACATTACTAGTTAGACTTACAGCAATCCAGTCGTATCTAAAGCGTCAACATTGGGCAGGCCAGGATTTGCGCCTCCAAATCCGTACATTCTCATTAATTCTATTTCAAGTTTCCAAACATAGGTTAGATTAGATAAATTGATATTTGAACTAAAGTCGGAGGGTGAAATAGTAACTTAAATGTGCGTGAAGGAAGTAATGGACTTTAGACAGGCCATAGGTATCATGATTAGCAAAATGCGTGTATAATATTCAGGTTATGACAAAGGGATAGACACAACCAACGTTAGCAATTTCGACTAAATACACACGCTTATCATACCAGAATTTGACATGGAGCCAGCGGAACTCAAGGCAGCACTTGGATTATTTAATACTTCGTTAACCTTATTACAATTAACTTCATCTTTATCAGTTTTGATATCCTGCATCCAAAAGAAAAGCTTTCGAGCTGAATTGCGAAATTTCAATACATATACTCGTCCAGTAGTACATTGGGTAACTCGACTAAAGTTTACATCTTCGGGAAAGATAATCAAGTCCTAGAATTAGAGAATGGAAATATAACTATTTCACCTTTACAGAATTTGATGTTCATACCATCAGTTCATAACTTTTAAGGTCATTTCAGTGTGTAAGAGACCCAACTATCTGACTGGGTCTAGTGTGCAGTTTACTGATATTGTAGTTGTGCCACTGCAAAGTACAGTACATGAAGGCAAGCAAAGTTCAATCTAACAATTTATTGCTTATCGGTTATTTCGTATTATCACTATGCCAGTTCAACTACTCCAGTACTTATACATCCAATATAAATAGGGTATTTTAGGTGTCGAATGATGTCTTCAATGTTGAATAAGTTCAACATTTTGAGAGACTAGTCCTAAACGTTGGGGACAACGCTTAGGCTAGGGAATTTTACCCTGAATTTTACTATCCGAAATTTGGGCTAGTTCCTAAGCATTTATGAAATAGGAAAAGGCAAGATGGTATTTCGTAAAATAAATATAGGCTGGTATCTTCTCGTTTCGTTGCGTTAATTACTAAGATTTACAGGAAGCACCAAGATGCTACGGAAGCTACTCCCAATTGTGAGTCAAATGAATAAAAATGATAAGCAAAGAATGAACTTTTACATGTGTTATAACTTGAGCATTAGTAAAAAGCAGAGCACAGTCTGTAAAGCACATATCGGTTAGTTTAACACTTTAACCGAATTATGACAGAGTCATTGGACTGTAGTCTATCTTACTAGCTGTATGATATCATCACTTGTGTGATTTTCATTCAAAATTAATCGTTTGCACACTACGACATCAGCGACCAGTTCAGTGTAATTGTATAGTCATTCTGAATTGAATGGTTACTATACCATTGTAGTAAAGCGCTGTGCTTTGGCATTAGCCAACTGGTGATTACTATCATGGACATTTCGCTGGCTACTACTTCTATTTTATTACTGGACTGTTTTGCTAGAAATCCAATTCAAGGAGTATACTTGTGTCGATTTTGTCATTTATTGCTAATTGTTTTCAATTACAATTCAGATGTGAATCAATTCAATATTGTACAACTTACATCGTCAACTTTACCAGTGGTCCTATCTTTCCAACAGAAATGCATTAAACTATCATCACCCTGAAATACATATAGAAGTCCTTTTCGTTGATCTGGCTTGACCAATTTTCCAGTCATCGTCATTTTACCAGCCTTAAATTCGACGAGATTGCGATGTTGTGGTAAACGCATATTCTGCCCTAAATTACCGAATAAATTTTGAGAATAGCCACCTGGAAAGGACATAATGACTGTCTTGAAACTGCTTAATTCTTGGAATTCACTTTCAAGCTTCCAAGTTATTATTGCGGTTGTACTCTTTCGAATACTGACTGAATACGGTAGTTCAACGATCTTTTGGTCGGGTTGTTACAATACTGTAGTGACGTCTGCTGAATGCCAGCGGATCCGTACTAACGTGGTGTACGATAGTGTCGTGCTTCAGTAGCTTCTTGCGTAAACGCGGTAATAGCATAGAGTCGAGTCATTCAGTAGTCAGCATTGCAGGTAGCTGAGTCTTTTTTGTGCCTTTATGACCGAGCAGCCTCTCGTGACTTGTGTATTAATCCAGAATGATACTGTACACTGTACACTGTACACTGTAGCGTATCCAGTACTGTACACAGTGTACAGTACTGCATAAATGAGTGAAATACAGCACTGTACTGTACATACGCATACTTGCGTCACAGCTAGTATTCACATCTGTACTAGGACGTACTACGTACCGATGCAGGCCGACGACCAACGGCAGCTTTTTCTTTTCTTTTGCCAGAGTCAAGGTCTACAGTCTCCAGTACTGTACACTGTAACTCCATTCTTTCTTCTTTCCAGCAGCCCATGTGTGAGTGGACACGACTCGGTCCAGTTCAGTCCACAACGATGGATACTGCTGTAGGACAATCACACGGTGGAACTTGTCGGTTGCTTTTTGTTCATAGTTGCAGACTTGCAGGCATATTTGACAGTTGGGTCCCACGCTAGTTCAATCGCAGCAGTATGCTAGCGACTACTGTAAAATAGCACTGGGGACTTGTCGATTTTATCCAGAAGTTCCCGATGATACTCATTCTCATCTTTCAATGAAGAAGATAGCATAATCAGTCTCTACGTTGTTATACTGTAGATTGACTGAATGTCCCCTTTTTCTTCTTCATTTACTGTACTGTACAGATGAGAGCGATGACTGGTGAGTATCATTTTTGCATAAGAGAGAAGGGGTTTAGACCGTTTGCTACTGGTCCCTGAGTATGCTCATCACCCATGGACCCTGGGCCCATGGTTCACAATTATCAGCTTGTCCGAATGTGACTCATCGCTACAGTACAGTACAGCACGCTACTGTACTGTCCACCATCCTTACAGTACTGTACAGTACTGTACTCTGTACCGTATTCTACAGTACGTACTGTAGTACTGCCATGATTAGCCTACAGTACAGTGTACAGTATCAATACTGTGGACTTCATGTACGGTAAGTGAAGATACTGTCGGCGTCAAATAGGCTGTGACGTGAAGTTCGCCTTTAAACTTGCAAGCCTGTCAACGCGCACTGCCATTGCTCGCTACTGCACACTCCAATTGCTGTATGATCGACTTAAGTTGAAATTGGGACACATTGCAAGTGGCAAGGATGTGGCGGCGTATCTTTCTGTGCAATCGACAAATTGAAAGTGTGGATAAATCCCACTGCAGTTTATCAGCAGTACCCGATCAGATTTATCGACTTCATCGTTGTTTAGAAGAACTGAATTTAGATGCCAATCAAATCCAGGAATTACCACCGGTATGTACGTACAAGGAGAGGTTGATTGATCGTAGTTTACAGCCTTGGTATAGAGTTGGAAGCCCAAGTCATAGTATACTTTTCAAAGCATCCATTTGCATGCATCCAGAACGGCTATCATAATAGGATCGCACAGTCATGAGTTGTTGGGTTGAAAAAAGACAAATAAAATAATAAAAAAATGGACAAAAATGACCAAATTTCAAATGCCTGTTTCACGAAATAATACCTTCCATTGACAATATTCTACTGATTAGATATGTTATTATTATAATTATTGACGTACCGGTACGATATGCACATCAAGTACATGTTGCTGCAGAAAGCGCAAGACCCAACCAAGTCTAGCTTGACTTTTAAAAATAATTTCTTCTTCTTAATTGAGATAGCTTAATTTGCTTCAATTCGTTGATGCCCACTTCACAATGGTTTCTTTCCCATATTCGCTTATAGAAGATAGATAGGCCATATCATTTTTTGATGAAAATAACATATTTAGTGCATGCCTGCTAGACTTGAACTCTTCAATATCACCAGCACATAACACAACTGCATTATTCAAGTTTAATAAATAACATCGTTTAGGGCTAGACAAACGTCAAGTAGGAGATTGCATCCATTCTATCTTGACCGTGTTAATTTCCATTAGGACGCAAATTATCTTGGTTAAATTCAATCGTTTGACCGTTGTCATTGAAATCATCATACTGTTTCGCTTGATCAATAGGTACAGTAGTACGTTTATACAGTCGATAGCCATTTGTGGTCGCCAACTTTGCATCGAACCGTATCATTATTGAACTTCATTTTCATTATTTCATTGCTAGTCTTGACGCCTATGTCGACACGTAGAACGATGTAAAATAATGATGGAAGAATTAAGTGTTGACAACAATTTATCTTGATGATGCTTGCAAAAAATGACTTACTACTTAGCCAAAATAATCATAATGTAACCTGTGTGGCGTAGTACGTACAGTATGCTAACTGTAAATGTTTATAGAGAATCCAATTTTTACTTTGTGCTATGATGATTAGAATTAAAAAGGCCAGTGTGTAATAAATGAGTATCAACCATCAACTCTACACAGTCTTCATATCAAGACTGCCAATCGTTGTTGGGAGATAAATTATATTGTATGCTGATGAGCTAAAAGTTTCAAAATCTACAGAGAAAAGAATGGTGCTATACTAGTACATCAACATACTGTACGCGTCCATATTAGCATAGGCCGTGCTAATACAGTACAAAGAAACTATTTTCCATGGATTACCGATACGATTTCATAATATTAGTGTAGATGCAGTCGATAATAATGATGATTTTTCTATCCTCTTTCTAGCAATTTTTTCGATTACTAAAATTACGCAATCTCAGCTTGGAAGATAATGAAATCAAGCGCTTACCAATGGAGATATCCAGCTTAACTAAACTTGTTGAATTAAATCTTCGCCAAAACGGTAAGTTGGTACAGTGGAACATGGATATTCTATTTTTATAAAATTATCTTATTAACGCTTTACTTGTACTGTACTATCCGGACTGCATTCAAATGAGTATGTTCTGCCCAAACTATGCGTCTATTTGCTCATATTCTAAAAGCTCTCAAATCGTATAATCAATCGACATGATTGATTATTGTAACTTTCTTCCCTTTATGGATAATAGTTCTTATACCCTTTGCTAGTTTGATCTTACGGTAGTACTACATTTGGAAGGGAGACTTAGTCTAGCAATGTCGTTGTACGACAGCACCCTACTCGTTGCAACTCCATGAGTTAGGTCGCACGTCTTTTATCTTTGGCCCCTTACTACGTTGTAGAATCAATTGGAAATGTGATAGCGAAATGTCATAGAATGTCTCCCTTCCAATTCATAATGGTCTGTACAACTTACTCTTTGTGCCTTTTTGTTGTAACGCATGGACGTGCCTCTTATTTATTCTTATTACAATAACTCAAATGAACTACCCATGAAGTCAGATCAGAGCTTTTCTCTATAATGTCCCTATTTTATTAGCAATTTGATTATTATAAATGGGCAAGTTTTAAGTCAATATGCGTATTTTTGCCACCAATTCGATCCTGTAGTTAGATTGTCTCATCGCATGTAGTAAAGTATAAAATGCTATCTCCAATTTTCCACCAATGTAGGCAACTATTATTGAATTTAAAAAACTTGAAAAGAATTTTGAATAATAACTACAGTATATTACTTGCCAATCAACGATTTATCTTCGCTTAAATATAGTTTGATTTGATCTTTATCAATTACACTAGTCATTGACCTTTACGATGTTGATAACAACGATCGACAATAAACTAATTTCCTTTCCCTTTCTTGATGTTACATAGTTCGTAGTAGAGAATAGTTACGATTCACACTAGTAATCATGGTGCAGAAAATAGTGTTATTAAAAGGTCGAAATTAACGTTTTTGCGCTGTTTATACGAGCCAATTGATGAATCCTACTATCTACACTTGTGATACAATTAACAGCGGATTTTACTATTTTTTTCTCCCCTCCCTTTTTATCCGCTGCCAATGATTTTCCTATATTTTATTTTATATATAGTATATACTATATATCGTACAGTATAATATTTGAAGTCATATTCATTTTAATCAAAAAGTCAACCATATCCTATTGTTGAATAAATCATGAACATGAACTCATCCGCCAAGGTAAATATTCATGATAGAGCATGTAGCCTCAACAACTAGTTTATTCTTCTTGATAAGAGTTGGTGTTGTATTAGCACTTTCATCAATAGATATCAATATGATCAATCTATTTAATACATGGTGTAGCAGGCCAATGATAGTGTGGCTAATTTACTTCTTCTTGCTATGGCATTTCTATACATGGCAATACGCGTACCATGCTGTACTTAATGACGCTTATTATCGCGGTCTCAAGTTTCCACCCTCGTTGTCATTATTTTTTTTTTGTTCAAGACGGCATTGTTTCTGAGTGTCTTGTTTCTATCTCTATGGCATATAAGTTTGGTTAAAATCTTCCGGCTCTCAATTTGTCAACTGGTCGATAACTTTTGTTACTTCTTGACCTCATCATGTATTGCAGTAATGGCGGTCATCATCTTAGCTATAATAGATGTTGCATGTAATGATGCTCTGGAATATTTGAATACCCTCACTTTTCAATTACTTCTCAATTATGATTCGTGTGTCTAAATTACTTATACAAGCTACTTGCTTGTACACCTATTTTGCAAAATATAAAGTTATTATTGATCCTAGTGTAACGCTACTGATGCCATTTTTTATTTTTATCTTATTTATAGTTTTGTTTTATTTCGTCAAATACACGTATATCTGAACATGCTACATGTTCTTACAACTTCTAACATTTCCGTATTTTATCCTATTTATGTCCATTAAATAGAAATTTACGACATACCAGAAGCTATTCGATTTTGCCGCTCTCTTAACACCCTTAATCTTAGTAGTAATCCAGTTGAAAGGTAAGCTTATTCACTTATCGCGGAGTTACACATTGGAACATTTTCAGTCGAATAACTGTAAAAATTGCATAGTTGTCGCAACCGATAGAAAATAGCATGCTGTCAATTCTTTGTTACTAATAGTTTTGTATATTTATTTATTCTTTACAACGTAATAAGTCAGTCCTCAAGAAAAGCTACAGTACCTTTTCTACATTTTGCTTCTGACTAGTTGATCTCAATTTTGTTTTTAAGCAATCAAACATTGAGTTGATTATTATTAAAGGGCATTAACTTTGTTGTTTTTTATTATGACGATATATCATTATTTTCTCGTTTTAAATCCTATACAGTATTGAGAGTAGCTTATACAAATACATTATTAGCGTAGTGCAGTACTAACATTTAAATATCATCTCCTGTATACATAAGCAGAGCTGATTGATTTATGATTAATTAAACTCAACAGAGATGTTAATAGTATATATGCTGATTTTCTAAGTGGAGTATTTAGCGCGCTTGTATACTATGTCGTACATCGAATATACCTACTCCTATATTCGTATGTTCTTAAATTTTCAGCAATATCAAAGCTGTGATATTTCTAATTCGTATAAACATCTACAACTATTTTATATGATCTTCTGGCGATGAGGATAAACTTAGTGATGCCAATGTGTATTTTACGTTCAATTTCTGTATTCAAGTTGAAGAAGTAAATCTCGATTGCCAATCAGTGAGCTAATTTATAGTACACTTCATGTTTATTCTACTATTCCAAGAATAGACGGGCAATAACATTTTAGTCAAATTGCCGTACCTTTTATTCCTGACTAAAATACTATGTACTCATCAGTAATTATGATCATATTACTAGTAAGCTATCACTGTTCAGGATGTTGGCGTAATTGAAATCTTCAAAGTACTATTAATCAGGATATTACCAGGGACTACTAAAAGAAGAGATTACTGTACAGCATTGTTACAGCACTACGTCGATCACTCTACTCGGTAGCTTTTCAATGAATGAATACAAATTACTATAGCTTTGCGGCTGAACAGAGGATTTATAAGCATGTAACGTAAAGTTATAAGCTATGGTAACGAACATCTTCAGTTCTAAAATTACTGTAGTTGCATGCAATGTTATTTTTTTGATTAATTATTTGAAAAGTATAAGACAACTTTATCCATTCATTGCATTTAGCAAAAAATTTAAGTTGGACAACATTGTTTCTTTTACGATTCGTTTAAATGCTATAAAAAGATATTAAATTTTATAAAAACCTGCCATACTACAGTGTTTAGCTATACTATAAATATAAATGGGCAGAAATGATTAACAAAAAATTTCCATTTCTCGACTGTCCATGATGTATGCTAACTGAATTTATCTTTTAACCCTCAAATTTGTTGTGATACGTACAGCATGGCAAGATCCTTAGTAGTACTATGGCTTAAGATTTTATATTCTAACGCCTAGTAGTATAAAAGTTTCTCTGATGGCCGTCCAACCTTTATTTGTTGGATAAGGCGATTTAAAAATATATAGTGTTTATACAGAAGTTCTATACTGCACATTACGTGCACCAAATCGTACGCTGTGTAGATGTACTGTGTTGATTGTTATTGTTATTATGCCATGTTATATATCGCCACAATATGTTGGGTGTGCCGTTATTGAAAGAACTATCTGTCAATTGTTATAAAATCAATTAATTTCAGTATGAGCTTAGTGACAGTGTGCAATAGATATATTCGCTAATAGATGTAATCTGTAATATGAATGTATAACTTGAATACTTTTAATAACTAGGCTTCCCGACAGTATTACGCAATTGCGAAATTTAACTTATTTGATGTTAAATGATATCTCAATTGTTGAACTACCGGATGACATTGGCAGGTTAGCTATTATATTGTGTAATTATGCATGTATTTATCCGTCTTATGCTCAATATAAGCGTTGTATTATGGTGGCTATAACAGAGGGTTTTAGGCAATAGGTGATGAAAAAGTATGAACTAATTAATGATGTCCGATATCGATTTTTAAACTCTCGCTAGTATTAAAACAATCTGCTCAGTGTTAGCAGTAGCTAATGTCTTTTAGTAGTTTTGGTAATAATATTATAGCTCTTAGATTAAAAGGTGACGTTAAATTAAACTGTTAGCATTCTTTTTATTTTCTTACTAATAAAGATAGTCATTAATTACTTTTCTTTCATTTTAGCTTGGTCAATTTAACCGTTTTAGAAGCAAGGGAAAACTACATAAAAGTTTTACCGAAGTGAGTTTCAATTTCTGCCCTTCTGAACAATATTTTATTTGATAATGAACTATTGTATATATCCATTGATATTACCATAGATATTATTCCTAACATAAGCAACCATGCAATAATTTGCTAATAATTTATGCTGTAGTGAGAAGAAGGGAAAGATAATGATGCATTGTATTCCTTTATAAACTTTCAATTTCAACCAACAATATTTTTAGATCTATTTGTGAATTAACTGTCCTAGAAAGATTAGATCTTGGAGCAAATGAGATTCAAGAATTGGTAAATATTTATCTTGATTAATATTTCATGACCCATTTTTTTCCCGCTCCACTCCATAGTTGTAGTGTCTGTATGAATATTTCTTCCTACTACAGTATAATATAAATGTTGAGTACCTGAAAGGATCAAGGTCATCGTTTTCTAATGCAATTACGAGATGACTATTTTTGTATCATCATTTCATGATATTGATTTATTTTGTATATCTACACGTATTTTCGTATTAAACACATTTCGATCGTTGTAGGCTAAATTTTTCTTACTATCACTTCATTAGCCTTACAAATGGATAAGAAATTGTATCGTCTTTGATTATTTCTTTTTATTTAGTCTACATTTATTTATTACAATTTCTTTCAACTAGCTTTTTCAATAATTGTATTTCTTAAAAATTGTTTTCATAGCCGGATTCATTAGGTTCTTTATTACACCTCAAAGAATTACTATTAGATACCAATCAAATTAAGAAATTACCCACGGTATGAAACTGTAAATAATTTTGTATATCTTGTTAGATAATATCTAGATCTTCATAATTGATGCCATTTAGATTATATCTTATTCATTTTACATGCTTTTTCGTTGTTATGTTGTATAATGTAGAAGTTACTTTCTGAAATATAAAATATTATCTAACTATTTCTATAGAGTATTGGAAGGTTATCAAATTTAGAAAGCATCGATCTATCAGAAAATTGCGTGGAATCGTTACCAGACGAAATTGGGAATGTGCGGAATTTAACAGATTTATTGTTATCATCAAACTTACTACAGTTTTTACCTTCCAGCATAGGTAAATTTTGATTTTATGTCAATGATGTTGTTTACATTTTATCGGTTAAATTTTGTAGCTGGTGCATATGATTATTCTTTATCACTAAATACCTCAGGAAAGTTGAGAAATTTATCAATGCTAAAACTGGACATAAATAGAATAGAAGAAATATCGGCTACAATTGGAGGGTAAACGAACGCTTGTCCTTATTTGAAGATGTTACATCTGTAATATACGTATATGTTGCGCAAGTTAATAAATTCTTTTATTTTTTATAGGTTGATGTCCCTTACAGAATTAGTGCTTACAGAAAATTGCCTTAAGGTTTATATCAGTATAATGTCATACCTGTTGTGGTAGCTTATTAATGTAACAAAAATATTAATCCTTTATCGCTATGGAATATATTTATTTATACAATCAAAATCAATCTTGGATCAAAGCAATTGCCTGGAACTATAGGAAAACTTGGAAAAATGAATAATTTAAATGCTGATAAGAATTTCTTGACTTCCATTCCATCTGAAGTATGATACAACATACGTTTTATCACTACATACAGTATACGCATATAAACACAGTTCACTCTTTTACGGACTAATGATTCTTTAATTTTTTTTATTTACAGATTGGGAATTGTACTAATTTAACGGTTTTATCTTTACGAGATAATCATCTCGATCATTTACCATCGCAAATTGGTAAACTGAAAAAATTAACGGTCCTTGACGTTTGCGGTAACAGGTAAATTGCATGGTTAATTACGTAAATATGTAATATAATGTTGTTAATAACTATTTTGATAATGTTCTTCGTAGGCTTGAAAGTCTTCCTATTACTGTAGCTCAATTGAATGTGAAAGCAATCTGGCTATCAGAAAATCAAGTATGAAATTAAAAATGATCTTTTCGTTTATATATCACATTTAATTATATTAATATTATGTTAATAAAATAATATGACTAAAGAAATATTTTATTTCTTTTCTATTATTTAAAATTAATATTATAGTCGAAGCCATCCGTAAAGCTACTACCAGAGACCTTAAGTGATGGAAAAACTGAGGTTTTAACTTGCTTTTTATTGCCACAACAGCCATTGCCCGACGAAATCTCTGGTTTGTAAAAAATATCAATTTTTCTAATACTGACTTTCAAGTAATAAACGTTACTCGATCATGAGGATATTACGTATATTGGTAAACAAGTCTGATATGGCTCATTTTCTTTTATATAGTTGAAGATGATGCAGATGCTATTGCAGATGTTATTGATACACGTCCTTCTGGTGTGCAATTTACGAATTCAGATGAAGAGCCGGAGGTTGAATACAAAATGAAAAGTCGTGGCCATTAATCTGATAGTGAATTTAATAGATATATTTTCTCTTTACAGTCTAATCTAGTCCGACAAGTTACACCGTACCCAGCGGAACTCAAGCAACGATATACTAAATTCATGGAATCCCGACAGAAAGCCAAAGTAAATATACTTAAATATAATGAAACATTAATATTTTTTCATGTCATCTGTCACTTGCTTAATTTTTCAAATGGGTTCGTAGTATTGTATGTCATCTTATAGAAATAAAATATTTTTGATTATTTTAATAGGAAGAGGTTACTACTGAATCTGCTGTACCTATTTCGGTTAGTTAGATAACATTTTCTTTTGCAAAGACTGTTTATTATATCGCTGCAATACAATATTTTAGCTGGTAGTAATAGTGTAAGGAAACAGTAAAACCTTATGCACACATAACGTAGAAAGCGTACGCGTCATCACTAAATGTCTTCCTCAAACTCCTTTCTGATGATATTATATTTAGCCTACCGAGAGTGAAGGTGAAAATCAAATACTGTTCAGAGAGGAAGGAGCTTCTGCCGAGTCTCAGAAAGTTCAACGCCAAGAAACCCCATTCTATCATAAAACTAATAAACCGGTTTCAAAGTTACCTCAGAACACTGTGGTTGGTATTTATCTATATGAGTATTAAAGATTGTGCGTATTTTAATAGTTCTTTTCGTGTATTTACGTGCTAATATATTCTTTTAATTGCTTGTATTGGAATAGGCAAATGCAAAGAAATCACAGACTGTTGAAATAGAAGTGGTTAATTCATATTACGAAATATATATCGTCTAACGTTCATCATATGATAAATCTTTAATATTTGCTAAGATGATTTTATTTCTATTTTCAGATTCAAGCCTTAATCTTTAAAGATGAAGGTAGTTTAGGTTTGAGTATTTCCGGTGGTGTTGGCTCTTCATCATTTAAAAGCGGCGATGACGTAAGGAGTTCAAAATTTAATAGCTTGTTACCTTCTTGATATGCTAAAATAACTTACCTAATTATTTTCCTTAATAAATAGGGTATATTTGTATCAAAAATTGCCAAAGGTGGACCATGTGATAATGAAGGCACATTGAAAATTGGAGATAAGATTTTATCGGTATAACACTATTATGTATTAAAAATGATTTTATAGTTTCTCGTGATCATATGATTTATAGATACTATAACTTTTAACGTTGATGTATTATTTTGAAAGAGTTATTATGAATAGGAATTGAAGTATTTAAATTAACTATTGTTAGTTCATGCTCCTTCAGTAGTTAATGGTTAGCTTACGCAGCTGACCCAAAGCATAGTTTTAGACACTGTCCGATAAGAAATAATATCTAATTAATTAAAACCGACATTTTTTAAATGTTATAGGTCAACGAAATCAGCTTTACTGGAATTACGCATGAAAAGGCAGTTGAAATTCTAAAAAATCAAGATAGTAAATATATGGTAGTTGTCGAGCGTAGCTGTTCGTTAGATAGTACCCCGCCGGAAAAACCTGCTCAAGAGCAACGAAAGGTAATGGCAGATTTGACTTATTAGTAATACTATTCAATCAGCGCAATCTCTGATATGCAATGCGTAATACTAAAGATCTTACCTAATTCAACATACATGTGCAATATGCCATAGCTAATATCTCAACATATTTTATATTAATTGATGAAAGTAATGCTCATCTTATCATGGTATCAATCTTATGCGATTAATTCACGGTTATAGATAAAAACCGAAACTAGCACAAGTAAAGATTCTTTAGGAAAGCAGGTAATGAAATATATGCTATAGTACGTGGTTTATTTTCACTAATTATAAACTTATACAATGTTAAAATAATCTACATTGGTTTTCCTTATAATAATACTGGTTATAGACAATTACTACCTCACTTCAGAGGAAAGAAGGACATAGTCTAGGATTTAGTATTACTGGCGGATTTAAACAAGCTGATGGTCAATATTCTGTAGGTTTCCGTTTAAGGCTGAAATAGAACAGTACTTGATGATTTGATAATCTTAGAGATTGTACATCTGCATTTAACAAAATATAGGGCATTTATATATCAAAGATTGCTAAAGACAGTATAGCAGCTGTGGACGGAAAGTTAAGCGCAGGCGATATCTTATTGAAGGTATGTGAGATAATTAGATATACATAGTAATTTAGTACATAATATTCTATATGGGTATATTTTTTTGCTTATAAATGTAATGTTTGCCAACTTTATTTAGATTAATGATGAAAGCATGACCAACGTACCACATTCGAGAGCTGTACAAATGCTTAGAAGTGAAGGAAAAATAATCACAATTGTTGCATCACGACAGCAAAAAGAAAATAATGCCACTCCTCCAATTCCAAGCACTAACACTGTTGCGACTCCAGTCGCAGCGAAGGATGGTGCTACCGTGCAAAGTAGCATAATTGTCAAACTGAATAAATCAAGCACATCGGTTCCGAAAAATTCATCTCAAGCATCTCAGAATAGCAAGAAGTCACTACGAACGAATGAAACACCTGCAAATGGTATCAAGACCGTAAACGATAAGAAAATTGAGGATCATGAAGTTGAAGTATGCATAAAAATTACTGATGTTTTTGAAACACGGATTATTTTACTTAAAAAATTGATTATTATTTACCTGAAAGGAAATTCACATGACCCGGACCCGGTCAAACAAAGCATTTGGCTTCAATATATTTGGTGGTAGTGATGTTAAGTGTTACCCTTTTTCGGCACTTGAAAGAGGAATTTTTATATCACAGGTATTACGTAAATATCGATAGCAATTAGTGATGGAGCTATATAAATTAATCCGCATGTTGATAATGCTTGTTCTTGATTTATATCATTAGATCACCCCTAACACACCGGCTGCAGAGGCTAACTTACGTGTTGGTGACAGAATACTAAAGGTTAGCATATTATTATATATTTTTAATTTAAGATGTTAGTTTATTAACTTCTATCCCTAAATTTTTTGTGCGACTTATTAAGATTAATGGACTGGAAGTAATTAAAGCAAGTCATTACGTGGCCGTATCGAAGTTATCTCTACTTGGTAATAAGCTATCATTAGTCGTTAGACATGATCTGCCACCAGCAGGCTTAGAGGTATTGCCTGAAATCAAATTGTTGCTTATAATTGTCCTCTTTAGTGCTTTTATATATACAGATAACCGTAGAGCATTTCTGTCCTTTTCATTATTAAATAAGCTAACGGATTGTTTGTATACCTTTGGTTGTGATGATAGATGATAAAAATGCAAAGAGAAAACGTTGAAGAACTTGGTTTAACTGTTTCTGGTGGAACTTTATCTACTGGTGGTAATCCCTTCGATGAAAATGATGATGGTATCTTTGTTACAAAGGTTTAAATACTATATAATATTAACTATTAACTTTGTGTTCATGTGGTTAGTGTAGATAAAAATACTGACAGTCGTTCCTTCTAAACACATACAGATTGGTAATGGGTGTATCGCCCGTGATGGTAGAGTGAAGCCTGGAATGAGACTGATGGAAGTAAGTGGACTAAATGAAAACTAAAATTTTATCTAAGACTTAGGATCTAACGAATAGGTTCCTTAATATACGTATTTTAGGCAAACTTCAACTCCCTTCTTGGTATTACAAGAGCCGAAGCTCTGAGAATATTGAATAATTTGAGTGATACAATAACTTTAGTGGTTTGTCATGGTTTTGATCCAACGCGATTGAATGCAGGTATGTAACATACTTTCATACTGTATATAGATGTAAATATTGCAGATGTTATAATTAGATAAGCATAATATGGTATTCAATATTTCGATACTTGCTTGAAATGATCACTTCTATTAATGTTAAAATATATTAATAGCTAGCATCGTTGTTAATAGACTGTATGTAATGTGTAATATCATTTCAGATGATAATTCCGCTGCACAAATTCCAGATAATGCAGTTAAAGAACCTGATGTAAGTATTATATCACAGCTGTAATCGCCAATCCTAAATTTATAAAGCTAAATACTTTCATAGAAATATAAATCGACATTAAAATTTGAGATCTCATTCTGAATGCTTTCCTACTTTTATTAGGTGGACCTCGAGGAAGTGCATATTTCTGAAGCTAATGATATGACACAAAAAACTGTAGAGAAGTTAGACGAAAAGGAAGTAATAAATCGACAAGAAGATGTTGATAGCGAAATAGAAAATGCAGAGAGCGTAGATGATCGACACTCGACCAGTGTATCCGGTGAGAATCGGCTGTCGACACTATCTGATAGTTCTGGAACACACTCAGATCCTTCTTCAGAATCTGATAATGAAAGCGTAAAAAATGATATTGATACCGGTAACAACGATGATAACAAAGTGCCAAAAGAAGAGATCGAATAGTAAAGTCTTAAAAATGGGACAATGATTTCGTAATAATTATATTAATTTTCACGGATTGGTAATGACCTCTAACAATTATCTAAATTACCTTGAGGTAACATTGAAAGAAAAGTAAATTACTCACTATGGAAGTGTATTGTCATTCTTTATAATTGCATGTACTGAATTGTCTGTTTTAATATTATTATGTATTATTCATTTATCACGATCATTTTTATTATCGATGTATTGTAATTTCATACCTATTAGCTATTCGCCTTGCTGCTGTGGAAATTTATCATAGCACGAATGCGTTGACTGGCTGACGAACTGATTCTGTTTCATTTGTTTTGTATTGCAGTATATATTACGCAGAATTGCTAATAACTGATTGTTATTCATGAATACAATATGTATTGAACAGTGTAGAAAAGAGTTATTTTATTATGGAATATTTCTAAGAGCGTTAGCTTACTTATTACTTCAAGCTTATGCTTTTATGTAGTACATTTAACCTATTTGAAAAATTTTTCAGAAATTTTTTCTGGCTTTGGATAATCGGGATTCCTGAGGCGGTTATCTAGACATCTTTTAAACTAATCATTCAAAGGCTATCAACCGCTCCATTTATTTACAGTGATTCCTTGTTTTTACTTACAATTTTGCGGTCTTTATTAAATTAGTCATGGAGGATTTTAACTAGCAATGTTTAAAAATTATATAAGCGTATTTGATGTATATATAAAAATATATATACACACTGTATAATGGATTAATGACATAGCTACCTGTAAGCATTTGTACAGTTAACAATTATTACTAAAACTGATTTTTATTCATCTTTGTAAAGTACATGGATTGTTAATAGTTATTATATAGTATTGAGCTATTGGTATTACCATAGTAGTACTTTTATTGCATTAATGGATAATATTCTATACCTTTTACCTATCGCATTCATTCAGAGGGTGAAAAACTCTATACAGCGTTATAACCTCTGAAAAAATCTGTATTACAGGGAAGCATTTATGTTGAGATGATTTTATCACTTATCAGTTTTAACTACTCTCCAACGTTAACATACGCTTGGATGTATGTAGATTAAGATAAATTTGATCGGGATCAATCGCTCATGCAATCGTAATAAAATCTGATTGTTTATTCATTATTAATGTCCATTCGGATAAGGCTACATTCAGTCTTATAACAAGCCTTTAAGAATATAAAGCTAGATACTGTTCAGATCAGATGTTAGGTAACTATAGCTTGAGGTAGTGCTACAACAACATCAACAATGGGCATGATAAAATGCTACTATAGATTGGGTAAATACATTACTTCTCATCGGCAATCCATATGAAGAGATTCATTTAGATCCAACGCAATCGAATATACCATAACTATCAGGAATAGTAGAGATTATTATAAAGTGAAAACTTTTATCAGCAAGTCGTACTTAATAATCACTTTCCCCGCCGACCTCCCAATTTGAGGTATTTTAAATCATCGATTCAAAGTATCAGTCATAATATTTCGATTCTAAGTATTACCATAATTTAAGAATTTCCTTACTGACAATATTAGCTATATGTTCTGAAAATTTAATTACAAAAGCATGAGGAGCGTTCTCCGAGTCGAGAACTATTTGACCCTGGGGAAATTTATCTACAAGATCTTGGTAGTAAGTTTGAGGTGCCCATTCATCATTAGGACCATAATGAAAATGTAAACGATCAAGATTTGCTCGAATTCCGTCCATATCTAGATTGACAACCTAATACGCACAGATAGGGTAATAAGAATGGTTAATAATTCACAGTGACACAAAATTTATAGTGATGTCGAATTAATCAATAACCATTACTAGTATTCTTCAGTGCTGCGCATAAAATTAGTACAGCCAAACGGCATTGAAGATAGAAATATCACTAGATTACTTAATTTGTTTCAATTTCTTTGCATTACCTCTCGAAATTCAGTATTAGCCATGTATAGGCAGTTGGATACGACATCCTTATTTATTAATCTGCTGGTAGCTTCAACACAATATCTATCTGCATTGGTAGCTATACGTAATTAGAAAATAATTGTAAATACGCAAATATGACTAGCAGTAGACATATCAAAACCCATGTATAAGCGTATGTATTGGAATGATGCAAATCACTGAATAAGAAATTAGCTTAAATTTACGTTTATTTTAAATCATGACATCGATATACCTTCAGGATAATGATACCAACGAACAAGCCCTTCAAGAAATGATCTTGGCAGACAAGAAACTAAGAAGCAACCCCAAACCATAGAGGCTCGATAGAATTTGCTAGCAAACTTGGGAACTAATCTAACACCATTTGGAGAAACTGCCATACGTTCAATAGTTGGAAAAAGTAAGAATGACTTAATAACCCTTGCATAAGGTAGCGACTTTGTTAATTCGATAGCGATATGAGCACCAATTGAATGGCCTATTAGTATTAAATTGGCAGAATCAGGAATATATTGCTTTACATAGTCAAGTTTGTGTTGTATCTGTTGGCTAAGAGTATAAACATCTGTTTCTAAACCAGAATGGCCAGCATGATCGACACAATCGATCGATAAGCGGCAACCAGTAGCTTGAAATAATCGTATAGCAAAAGTAATATAGTAATCGCAAATGCCAGGATTACCAGGAATGATGAGAATACGTTTATCTCCCTCTCGATTTGCATTCACTGGTGATAATGTAAAATATTTCGTTGGTATCTTGCCAGTATAGCAAACTGATCGAGTTAGGTTATACAATTGCCTGGTTGTATCAGTCATGATCGTTTGTTGGCTATGGTACGATCTTCCAACGCGTATTCTACTAAGCGTAAGAAAAGATGACCTAGCTGAAAGAGTTCTAGAGAGTGAAATTTTGATACTAAGTAGATGAATATCGGGCTAATGACTCCGTCTAATTGATGAAATAAAAAATATCTAATAATAATTTATAGATATGTACAGTAATAACGATCATTAATTAATAGTCGAGTAAAGTAAAAAGGTCATCGAAATTTTACTCTGTCAGTATACGACCTGCGCATGGTTCGGTAGATGACGGTATTTCCTAATTCTCGATGCTGTTTGAAACCTTTTACTAGATGTCCTGTTTGGGTACCTATACCGTAGTATCTTAGCAAGGCGGCACGGGGGTCATCGGCCATCTCTCTCTATCATTCATTTGTTTGAGTACTTTGCCACGTCAAATTAAGCAGAGGTACTACAACTCTAGGTTACACTAAAATCCTGAATACGCGGTCTGTCCATTTCTACTGAATTCCATGACCTATGACGTAAAAAATGGAGGAGCATTCATCCCGCTGCTCAAAAATGGAGAATATCGACTGTAGAAGCTTTAATATATCATACACGTCTTGAGACTCTTAATTGTTCACCTCTATTCAAATGCAGGGATAAAAGAACAGCTACTGTAGAGTAGTTGCAGAATACTGTAGTAGTAGATTATGATTGCTGCTTCTGGTATGATTGTACACAGCAAGTTTGTAGACATAATTGCACTGCAGCTGTACTCAAGATAGTGAATGGAGTAATGTAAAGATCGAATAAGAAATATTCAAGACATGCTTTATTAGATAGTCATAGCTCAACTACTACTAAATAAAAGGAGAACTTGTGCTCTTTTAGCCGTTATGCGCTACTTTAGACTAGCAGTACCTGTTTCCCTCCCTACAGAAATGTCATAATTTAATGGGAGTATTGAACTGCCAGGGACTCCTACTACATGTAGTCCCTCTCATCTCTCTTTCGTCATAATTGAATGGAAGTATAGAACTGCCAGGGACTCCTACTACATGTAGTCCCTCTCATCTCTCTTTCGTCATAATTGAATGGAAGTATAGAACTGCCAGGGACTCCTACTACAGCCCCTCTCATCTCTCTTTCGTCGTAATTGAACGGAAGGATTGAACTACCAGGGACTCCTACTAGAGTCCCTCAGAGTCTCTCTTTCGTCATAATTGAATGGAAGGATTGAACTGCCAACTAATCTTGATGTTGTACACTGCTTTCTCTTTTCAAAATCGATGATTTCTAGCGACTACCTTTTAAAGTCCATCTCGTCTCTCTTTCGTGGCCTCTTCTGGGGATTGCAAGCCGTGGGGAATTTGTTAACCGGGTACCCCGTTTCATACCATCAATATAAAAATTGTCCGGGTACCCGGGTATGGAAGCCTCAGTATGGAAAGCCGGGTGCAATCTCTAGCCCCTGCCTCCCTGGTCCTACTGTTATTGAGTAGTCCAGTAGTCCAGTAGTCCATGATATATTGTCTTGCACTGCAAAGCTTACAGGCTACAGTATAAGTTTTCCGTCACTGTTTGAGTAAGTCAGTCTAGTATAACAATCTGTATCCAATACACTTAACTAATATCGGTATTTTAATACCGTTCCAGACACATAAGTAGATCCACCGGATACGCGCATCGATTGACTGCGATGAGGTAACTTGTGTTGTTTCATTCCCATTTGCCATTACTTCAAGAGAGGAGGAAATCCTGCCTGTGCAATGGACATTATGATTTCTTACTAACTTCTAGTTTACCAATCCATCCCGTTAAAACTGTTATAGTAGAATATGGCTTTATTACAGGTATATTGCAATAAAAACGAATGGATAAAACCGCTTGAATGAGAATTAAATGATATAGTTACACTACACACTTGCTAGGATGATGTACACGTAGTCCAATAAATTCTAAGGGTACAGAGTAGTTGTTGATCTCAGGTGAACAGCAAGTATCACGTTTTCCTGTGCTACATTGGTAGATTTGAACTTATCTTGCGACTATTTCAATAACTTGTTTTTCTTATAGTGGCGTAGATTTACATTCTTTAATAAAGAACAAGTGAAAGATGAAAATGGTGCTACATTCGATAAGTTAAAGGTAAATGTTGTCATGTAGCCAATGACTAAAGCATCACAACAACGTCACGTTTAACAGGACTACTGGACGAGGAGAATTTATCGTTTACATCCACTTTGTACAGTATTGACAACTTTAAAAAGTGCCTGAAAAAAAATGGAATAGTTACTTTTAACCTTATAAATCTCTAAATTTCTTTCTGATTGTACTTTGAAGTAGCTTGACGCTAATACTATTTTATGCCTTGCTTTATCAAATTACTATTTGTTTGTACAAAGTGCCTATTACAGCGAGGTAGCACTTTCTACTATTCATAATTCTACATTTAGCTACAGTAACTGTACAACAACTGCCCTACCCTACATTATATAGTATGTTCGATAGCCAGATTAGTGTACAAGCTTCAACTAGATCTACCAATGCAAGTAAATTGCAAATGACTAAAGTACTACAGTAGACTGCAGCAGTATACAGTGAAACAGAGTGCCATCGTATAGTTCGGCAATAATGAACCAAGTTAAATCCCCTCATGAGGCATTAAATTTCTTATCTATTTCTTCTCTGTGTTTAATGATTAACAAATTATTATATTTCATCCTATTTTGAAAATAATTAATTACTCTAGGATGTGAGAATATCCACTTGCGCTAGTGGAAGAGGACAACTACTTTTTGGAGATATCCTTTAAAGTTAAATCAATATACAGTACAGTATACATACATGAAAATTCGATAGTTGGTTGTAATGAAATGCATAGGATTGCAACCCTACTAATATGAAAGAGTATCTATGCAGCATTTACTGTATACTTATGTGCGATAGTAGACGGACTGTATTGTACTTTTTGTAATGTGATACAACCTCGTTAAGGTATATATATACACGTAGTTATATCTAATCATTGCACTTCAATTTTATTTGCGATATTACATATATCTGTCCGTGATATCTTTCTTAAATAAATGTTATAATCATCTCCTTAACGATATTCTCACATAATGAAGGAACAGTTTACGTTGTTAGCAGGGAGTTGAATTGCTTTCTATTTCGAGCCTATGATATATGCATCGTTCTGATGCATCAGTTAAAGTCGAGAAATATTTTAATCACTATTGGGGTAAGTAAGCGATATCTATTTGACTTCCAAAACATTAAGACGATAACTAAATCAATAACAACTTTATTTAATAGCTTGACCAAATCAATGTTTATCCCTTAATCAAAATGTGGGATTTCGACAAGGTTAGCTATTCAACTCTTAAATCCTTACCATATTTTATTTTGTGCTTAATTTGTTACTAAAATAATCATTTCATGACGTAAATATGCTAGCTCGATGACTGTGGAATTCCGGCTTGTTGCAGAAGCATGCCAATGGTTGTCGATAAAACGCCTGTGCCTGTAAGTTTATTAAATATGAGTCCAATAATACCGTTTCCGCCTAAAACGACAATCGAAAATATATTATTCGATGCAGGTAACTTGCCTTTCCGCTCTTGATTCCTTATCTCACTTGGCAATTGGATTTGCTAATGGTTCTGTTGTACTTCTACATGGTGATGTCATGATCGAAAAGTAGGCGTAATACTGTACTATATTTTATGTTTAATTTGTATATGGCTGATGCTCATCTTGTTATGTGAAAATAGCAGATGAATCTATTTTAAAAGAATTACTCATGTAAACTTATCATATTATTATTTAGATATTGCAAATCAAGAGTTGTCCATAGCGATAGATATCCTGTTACAGGTTCGGTGTCAATCATCTAATAAATGAAAATGATGGCCAATTGCTTCAGAGTACCGTCAAGATTTCCTTATAAATGAATGATCTCATATTTGATAAATATTTTTAGGCGTCGTTTTGAAAAAGTCAGATAAACAGATTGTGGTCTTCATAGCTACAACAGACTCTATCATATCTTATATTATATCACATAAAGATCATAAGGTACAAATTTTTTATACTAATTCGTAAGATCTGTAATATTAAAGGAATTTAGTTTGGCTCTAGCCAGGAAGATGAGCTATGCATACCATCTAATGAATAGCATGTTGTCATATTGAAAAACCTACGAAGTGAAATCCTTTTTTTAAATAGACTATGTTAAGTGCTGAAGGCTGTCAGCTTCGATGTTCTATACTAAGTAGTCCACTTCAAGAACAACAGCTAGTTGTAGCTCGAAACGAAGTACGTATTTTAAACTTTTGATTTTTCATTAAATTATTACAATTAGAAGATCTAGAAAATGATTATTATTACTACAGGCATTATACTTCTTCCAAACTGATGAAAGGGGACCCTGCTTAGCTTTTACCGGTATGTATTATATCCATGTTATGAATAGCATACGTACAATAATTGTTCTTTCTTGAATTGAATTTATATTTTCGGTATTTTGCCTACAAAATATACGGCTCTATAATCTTTGCAACTAGGCGAGAAAGTATTCCTGAGATGGTTTAGGAATAGTTACCTCATTGTAGTTAGCAAGGAGACTAAGGCATCTCTTCCTAGAAGTGCTGGGTATTACGAATGTATATTTTTAAATAGTATAAGTTAACTTGACCAAAATTAAAATCTTTCAAATGCAATACTTAATGATGTATCATCTTACAGCCAATTATCCTTATGCTAATGCTTAATAATTCTATAGGGGTACTGTACGTTCTACTTATATGCTAACCATCTATGATATCGTGAATAAACTCATAGGTAAAAATTAAAAAAATTAGATATTGTTCTCGGTACACTTCTCACTCGATACCGATGTACAGTATTAATCCATTATACCTTACTTAAACTACAGCTTTCTCGGCACCATTTGTTGAAATTACTGATGTTTTGATCGAGTGGGGTTCCGTTTATGTTGTATTAGGGGATAATACAGTAAGAAGTTGCTGTAATCTTGTTGATTTTATATAATAGTAGTTGTTAATTATTAATTGTGTTATCTTTTGTGGCAAAGATTTGTAGCTTGGATGAGAAAGACCTTCAAAATAAGTTGGATATACTATTTAAGAAAAATTTCTACAGTATGGCAGTTAGGTAGGTATACTTTATCCTTACGAACTCGTTACTAAACGCTATTATAGTTCATATACTAATCTTATTTTACTACTTGCAGCTTAGCAAAAAGTCAAAATTATGATGCAGAAGGCTTAGCTGATATCTTTACGCAATACGGAGATCATTTATACGGGTATATTCTTGCATGGCTATTATAATATCTTAGCCGAGATTCGTATGACGTATTAAATTACAATTAATACCTCAAATTTGCACTATTTCGAAAACAGTAAAGGCGATTATGACGGAGCAATCTCACAATATTTGAAAACAATTCGATATTTGGAACCATCATATGTTATTAGGAAGGTGTGATTATTTCTTATCATTATTTTTATTGGTAAATTTGTAAGAAAACATAATTATCTTTCATACCTAAGTATTTCAGTAATATTTTTTATTAATCCTTTCAACAGTTTCTCGATGCTCAAAGGATACATAATTTAACTTTATATCTAGAGGTTAGCCAATAAATGTAATTAACATAATTCTTAATCAAGATGTAATTTTTGACCGTATCGGCAACCCTTACCGAGAATCATCACTTATTTTGCTGCGGTAGGAGCTTCATGAGCAGCAATCAGCAAACTCTGATCATACGACCCTACTTTTAAATTGCTATACAAAATTAAAGGATGTTAACAAGCTCGATCAATTTATTATGGTATAAAGGTTTTGAAAGATACTTAATAAAAGCTTAATCTTTTTATTCCTTAACACAGTTTTGTTACGTATTCAATAGACTGATAAAGAACTAAATTTCGATGTTGAGACTGCAATTAAGGTACGCTGTTCATTACAAAACTTTGTGTTGCTATGCTTATATTTAAATCAAAATGATCGAAAAAATTTGTTGCTAAAATTTTTTAATATCGTTGTATTCGTCTATGTAGGTATGCAGACAAGCGGGCTATTATAAGCATGCAACGTACCTAGCCAGGCGATGCAAAATGCACGATTGGTGAGTAATATTTTACCAAAATACTATAATTTTGTTGTCTTAGCATGAAATTACTTTGATTTAGGTATTTAAAAATCCAACTTGAAGATACAAAAGACTATGATAACGCCCTTGGATATATAAAGAGACTGCCTTCTGACGAGGTTACTTATGCCAACTATTTCAATCATGTTATTCGAGTATATTTAGGCTGTCATGATAATAATTTTAGAACTTATACGTTTTACGTATATATTTGACGTTCATTAGGCACAGAGTAAGCTCAAAAAGTATGGGAAAATGTTAATAACATTTAAACCGAAGGAAATAACGGATTTTTTAAAGACGTTTTGTACCAGAGCCAAATCTCCAGGTTCAATATTTTTATTAAAGGCAATTTCATAACAGTTGTTTTATTTTTATTAATACTTATACTCACTATATCTACTATCTATTTTCGGATTTGCTAGATGGTGGTAAAAAAACGTCACCCGAATCCTTTATCCATATTTTTATAAACCATAATAAGCAATTAATAGAATTTCTGGAACATCTAATGCGTGCACAAGGCCCCCTTCCTACATCTCTATGCAATACACTACTAGAATTATATTTAGAAGAAATGGACAAGGAAAACGATACTGCGGTATCATCAAAGTGATTGAGTGATTTACTTTGCTTGATAATTGTATTGAAGAGTATGATATCTGCTTACGATTTAGGTAAAATCAAAGCTTGAGAAAGATGCTATTAGCCTACTTACGAACCATGAGGTACCATATATGAAATGTTATTTGATGCGTACAATAGTCTTGATATGTTATTAAGCTAGTATCCATATTGAAAAATCTTACAAATTCCATTATAGGCAAGATACAACGTTGATCACGCAATGGTTCTTGCTCAGATGCATAATTTTAGAAAAGCGGTGTTGTACCTATTTAAGAAAGCACAGTTGTACGTATAATTTTAGATCATCGCCTTAATATCTTGCAAAACTAGTATATAATATAGGCACTGTTAATTAGATATCAGCCCATTCTTCGCTATCAAATGGAAGGTAACTGCTATTCAGATATAATTGCTCTTTGCAAGGAATTTGGGTAAGTCTTTTGTTAAGTAGAAATGTTTTTTATTAACTACTTCATCTTTTAATCAACTTGAGGAATCTAATTCGTAACATAGTTTATCATTTGTATTTGTATTGACTAGCAATAATGATCCTAGTCTTTGGACGCAAGCTCTTACTTACTTTGCTGATAAAGAGAATTGTAAGGATCACGTAGCTGAAGTCCTCTCTCATATCCTAATGTCACAAAATTTAACTTATTATTAGTATAACTGGTAATTACACCTATACCGTACTGTAATCTGGATTCGATGTAGTTTTCTTAACTATTGTTTACATATCGAGAAGAGAAATCTTTTGCCTCCTTTGTTTGTTATACAAGCTTTAGCACGTAATTCAACAGCAACTGTTTCGATCATAAAGGTACCAAATCCGATTTCGATCCTTTATATAAATTTTCCGATGCTGCTTTATTTTGATAATGAGATTGTTTGAATGCCAAATTATGCATGCGTCACACCGATGGCTAGGATTACATGATCCGTCGTTTACAAAAAGAAAATGCGCAAATTAGTGAAGATGAAAGACTTGCTAAACAATACCAGGAGGAGACAATAAAAATGCGTCAAGAAATCGAAGAGCTAAAAACAAGGCAATCGTATACACATATTTTTAGCCCTAGTTAGCTGTAGTAACAATGATGCACACAAATAAATAGGGGATTGTTTTACTAAATGTGCACAGTGCTAAAATATTTCAAGCATCAAAGTGCAACGGCTGCGGTAAAGACTTGGACCTTCCTGCCATTCATTTCTTATGCGAACATTCATTTCATTTGATGTATGATTTTTTCCTGCTGTAATCATCATATTGCATTTTAGCAATTATGAAGTATTAACTTTCTCATCACTTAATTGCAGGTGTTATGAAAGCTACACAGACGCGGAGTCTGAATGTCCACTTTGCTCACCTGATTATCGGTTAGTAATTTACCGTACTTGGTAATTTATGCGTAACAAAAAATTACATAAATATCATCGAACAGTAATGTTTTTGCTGTTTTTTATATGGAGTGTAATTGTTTCTGATTTAAAATTAAAAATACCTTGCAGTAAAATCACTGAAGCAATCCAAGCCCAGCAGCAAGTTAAAGGTCTTCATGAGCAATTTCATCAACAGGTTTATAGATAAATACTATATATATGGATTAAAGTCTGTTTGGTTCATCGTTTCTGGGCTTCTCTTATTCTATGATAACAAGTGTTCGATAAAATTTCGTAGTGCTTGTTTAAAAATATTTTACTTATTGCAAATTTTATAGTTGGAAAGATCAACTGACTCTTTCTCAGTGGTATCAGAATACTTTGGTCGTGGTGTTTTTAATAAGGTACTGATTATATGCTCAACGATAAAATATTCTCCGTGATAAGCTAGGTACTTACATAGTGACTTTTTTCTTAAACAGATTACGTTAGTAGCTGACAAGCAAAACAATAGGGATCGTTTAAGGCGTACTTAGTATTAGCATATGAAGGACAAACTTAATTCAGGAAGTGCACCGTCTTCTCCACAACAATGTTAATAACATGTAACTATTTGTTAATATTTGAGCAAATATATGTTAAGTACAGATAGTGGATATTGAATAATCTGATCAAATGCATACTTTTGATATTGTTTATTGTAATTCGTTGTCAGTGACAATTTAAGAACTGGATTAGATTTTATAATACTGTACCTTTGACTATTATATCGTATATAATGAATTATTCAATCAACCTCATGCAATTACGATTGGTTTTATTAAATTGATCAATAAATAAATAAATCTATTCATACTAGAGGTACCGACTTGAAATCTTTAATTGCCAGGGTCCTTAAATCTTGAATTTGTGTTGTATAAGCTAAATTTCCTTGTTTTACGCTTACTGGTTTCTATGTTAAGCAGGCTGCTCTTTTATTGAATTTTGTAATTAATTAACCACCTTAAGAAAAGTTATCCGCTGACATGCATGTTTATATTGCCCTTAGTAACTATTAAGAGTAAATTTAGTGGGTGTCATTATAGTAAAGTAAGTCTAATCGCACTCTTTAAGGTTTAATATAGATGATTTGCTATCAAATGCTGAGCAACAATAATATCTATTTGGGCTTTTAGAGATAGTGATTGTTGAATAAATAAAGTCAAGAATAACTAGACTCTCTTCTAGTAGTCCTTGCTAGGGTTGACCTTAACGCAAGTAAATATGAGCCATCACAAAGATGACGCTGTATTTGACGTTGTAGATGACGTATTTGAGAAACTTAATTAATCAAATGAACAAGCCAACATAAATGTGTAACGTTATTGTCACAAAATAGCTTCGTGACAAAGATAACGTAAAACAAATCTCTAAATTACTATAGTCTCCGGGATTCAGTATCCCTTAACTACCTCACAAGAATTTACTCGCCTTTGCTTCTACGTTAAAACAACTATATAATTCTTCTTTTATTCTACTGTCTGCCGAGCTTAAATACCCTTCGGCAGCAGCTATCATGTATGAGTCATAACAGTTCATGAAATTTAGCTCATATTGGATAGCTAAATAATACAGACATTATTCATAATTTTGGACATTTACTGAACGATTCTAGATAATTAGACTACAGTATGTCCACATACAGAATTATTTATGGTATCATCTATAATTGAATATCTTCAGGATATTCATCATTACAAGCGTTACAAAACATTACGCTATCATCAATTAATATAAGTTAACTTATGAAAACTCTTACTACAATACAACATAATTTACTGTAACAAAATAATAACTACCGTAGTTCTTACTGTAAGTCATTATTAGTTATCTCTATATATAAATGTTTAACACTAAATTTAGTCATTTACTCTTCACGGTGATTCGTACCATGATAGTTATGTATTACCTTATCTGTTTATTTAATATGATTAATCTTCAATTTATTCTCATAGAGCTATAACATAACTGAGATTGTTAGACAAGGCACGAAAACTTGTATTCTATAGATTAGTTATTTATAGATAGGCTTCAAATCATTGCGTATTGGAAGTAAATTTATTTAATTTTTATGAACTAAAACTTGAAAAGGAATGACAATAGCTGTTTAAAGCAATTAATATAATTTATAAGGTCACACGACATAAGAATATTCTCGACAATAATATAGACAAAGAACAAAGATAAATGCGCTAATCCTTTCAAGTTTACGCACAGCAGCTATTCAATCTTGTATTACCTTAAGTCTAATGTGAAATAACCATCATTTCGATCAAATTTTTCGAGCTATTCTAATTGATGCCATATATGGGATGTAATAACTAACGACTAACATATGGCAGTATGCGAGAAATATAAAAACGTATAGACAATTTCACTGGTTTGCTACCTCAGTATCAAATAATCAATTACCAGACCGAAGTTACGATGCACCTGAACTACTAGTAACTAAATCAAGATTTTCTTTCCAGAAAAGTGCGCATCAGTTGATTAACTTGAGCTGGTTCATCCTGTTGAACCCAATGGCTAGCGGCAACACCCCTAGTGAATCAAAGAGTAATAGAAATATAACGAATCAGCATGCTCATAATTTATATAATTAATGACATGGTATCACCTCAATATCACCATTAACATTTAGTAGTAAGAGATACTAGTGTAATGAAACGTAAAAGCAAGACCGAGAGAGATATCGCCTTGAACAATACCTGTAGGTCACATTTTCTACATATCGGCTGAGATTGTTATTCATTTCCTTTTCTAGAACTGGATCAGCTTCACCCTTTTATTTTAATCAATTCACTCATATCAATACAATATTACCAATCAGGCTAACTAATTCTGAAGTAGCTATAGCATAAGAATCGTAATATATCGAATATCAACCGTTACTTGATCTTACCCATATTACAAGTGTGGGTACTTTCAGTTTACCTTCAGGAGAAGGTTTTGGTGGATAAAAAAACTTAGCTCTGTAATAGTTGATTGCAGCAGTTAATCGTCCTGGTCGTGAGAAGTTATACTTATATGCCTCTATGTCCTCATCCGTCACATTTGCTGTATTTTGAAACCCCTGTAAAATTCATAAGAAATGGTATGCTTTCAATACAATATATTGAAGTATTTGGGCTATATGATGAAACTATGTATCCCAAGGGCATAACAATTGGTGTATACTTACTCCTTCTTTACTACGGAAGGCTCGCTTTGCAAAAGCGTAATCAAAACTAGAACACATCAATTCCGGCAAGTAAGGACATAAAAAGAAGATAATGTACTAGAAATGAAGATAGTTACCCAGATCAGTATTCTATCCACGGTAATTTTTATAATGATGAATTATGTGGTATGTAGTACTAATTCATAACATATTGATTTTGATTCTTGTTATTAGAAAACAATAACTATTTTATTTTTTAAAGTACCCAAGATTTTTTTATTTGAGATAAATGACTTTGTAGATGGTCTTGAAAAGATCTATGAAATAATTTTAGTTAGCTTTTTGTTCAAACTCAAGACAATACATGTCAGACCAAAAATACATATGTAATCTTCCGTACTTTGGATGAGGGCCATTCATAACAATTAGATTATTAAAATATTCCGGATACGATATAGCAGTATGCCTGTGAAGATATTGATAATTAGCAAGATTAAAATCTTCACGTTTTACGAATAGCCTAACACGACGATATGCCATAACTTCATTAAAAATAAAACAATTCGTGAAATAGCAGTAAGTCACAATAGCGCATTTAATAGAAGAAAGGTATTCTATTCTAAAATGAAATTACTATTGTACAGTATCTATGCTATCAGGGTAAAAATGATAGTTAAAATGTATTGGCATAAATATTGGCATAAATATTACCAAGCTATCGCACCGCCCCAATCATGACCAACTAAAGTACAAGTGTCATATCCTAAGGCCTCAACCTTCAAAAAAATGCCGGAATATACAGATGAGTTAAGTTGATTTACTAATAACATGAGTAAGTTATGTAAAATCATAATTCTTACCACTTCTTTAACGTCTTGAGCAAGTAGATCAATACAATAATCTTTAGATTTTAAGCTAGGGATAGTGGTATCACCATATCCTCTAAATAGAAATTAGATATCATAAATACTTTTAGACAATACATTGGGTATTCTCTGCAGATCGGACATGTGCTTGGCAAAATTTTCAGTAAAACCATTTGCCTTTTAGTATACAACTTAAAATGTCTTATTTTTACATTTTGTGAAAAGTGGGTATATCGATAGCAGATAGTATTGTAATAATATTATCTATGCTGGTATTCGTTCGTAATATAATTGGTAAGGAGTACTACTTGTCAAAAGTTGCACCTAATTTAAAATGTAATGCGTAAACAATACCTGTTATCCATTGCAACAGCATAATAATCGTTACCAAATTCTTTAAGTTGAGCACGCCATGAAAACCAAAACTAGATTTATAAATGACATCGGTTATGATTACATTTACGGGTGAATTTAATTGAATGATATGAGTTGCTTAAAAAAGCATGTGGTATTCAAATTTTGAATACAACATATTGCTTAGTTTTAACGCTGTAGTTCAGGTGAGTGAAATATCAAGCTAACCGCCAGCTCGAAGTTTGTTAAATGTTCTTAAATATACAGTAAACGATCCACTAACTTGGCAACGGGTCAAAAGTGATCACGTTTATCGATACGACGATTGTATATCATATTGTTGCTATGCATACCTCTGGAAAGCCGTGTATGAAAAGAATTAAAGGCTTGCCAGGAGTACCAGACGCTACGTAATGAACAGCAAGTTTGCTAGTATACGCTATGCCATGCTTTCCATACTCAGGTTTGGCAATGGCTGGAACAACTATAGCATGTTCAGAAATAATATGGTGTGTTAGAGAGTTTCATGATAATGACAACCATAAAGATACAAAGTCAATCAATTATTAATCATGGCATCAATATTATGTATGGATGAATATACATAACTAAGGTAGCTTGTAATGGACGACTAACATGTAAAATTTCGTATTGCTATTCGGATTGTATAATAAATACTACTACTGTATGTTCGTACACAATTGAGCTATAGCTCTATCGGGAGTTGGCTACCAACTACCAATTGGATATTACTGATTTTGAATCGTTGGCGAGCGAAGGCTATCAAGTGCTCAATCTAAATTTAAATAATTTTGGATTAGGATGGCACATAATTTAGTTAAAGCATAATTATACAGATGTATTTTAAGGCTACGTATCGCGTAAATCAGCCTCAATCGGAGTTCATATACGCATCTATCAATTGATGAAGCGACTGCGAAGATACTAGTATCTACAGTATGCAAGAATTATTTTTTGCATAGTATTTTTAGTGGTCGATTTTATAACTGATACCATATCAGTTGAGCATACAGAATTATCCAGTTCAGACAGCAGCTAGTAATAACGATGATCATCGTGAAACTCGTTTACATTATCTAATTCGTCATCTTTACAAGATATAATGGAAGCTAACCAACTTGTAAAAGTAGCCTACTGACACCAATTGCAATGTCATCTTGTGAGCAAAATACGCGTAAAGGTATTTATTCTTCATCTACTTATCCAGACTAGTACTTCATAACAACATTTTACTGGAGTCTCACAACAGACACAATATACGAGACTCGTAGATTGTCTAACTCACTACGCGTAAGCAATAAATTACCCAACTCACTATATTACTTTGTGCATTAAGCTTCAATAACATTATTGGTGCAAATCATCAAACAATAATCACATCATCCGAGACTGATAACATCTTCTTGCAGTATATCTAAAATGCTGTATACAATACAGTACAGAGAAAATGATAAGTACATACCCTTATACTAGCAAAACAGGTAGTGATCTATAGTACAATTCCAGTATGTGTCAGCTTTATAGCTTAAATATGGTATAACGCCAAGGTTACAGCTAATTTTAACGTAAGCAACATCATATCAATTATAATTATCTACTTACAAACAGTGCAGTGCAGTATATCTACAGTATACATCCATACAATAAATCTATACTTCACCAAGATTTTGATACCTGGTAAAGTACTATCATTTATAGAAAGCAGTGCTCGTGATATTCTTGGTCACTGCCTATACCGATTAACATACCTGTCTTTTCTGACTTGTAAAAGAACTTTTTGGGATTCCTAAGCATTGAAATTAGGAGTTGCAGACCTGTCAACACTCCCAAAATGATAGCAACAATGATGTACAGTACTAGTTGTAGAATCCGAAGTAACATGATGGATAAAGCAGCGTAAGATGATCCTATAAGTTGTAAGGGTATCAAAATAGAAGGAAGATTGATGATGATCAGCATCGATTATAATTAGATGAAGCTTGCAAAAGTCATTAATTAATTATCTAAGTTGCGATACTTGGTATCAACAAGAATAATCAATGCGTCAAGTCAGAGTTGATATTTGCTAGATAGCAAGCTTAAAATTGGATTAAGTAAAGTAAATGAATTTCTCCAGCCTAGTGATATCTCTACCTCTGGAACGATCCAATTCAATGTAATGGCGTCAATATTAGGTAGAACTCGCTAACTTCTTGTCGATTGTTCCATTATTGCAAGCGTACACTCATTAATAATGGATTGTAACTACAACTGTATCTGTATGGCAATAAGTCAATAAATAACGTCATGATTGGCTGCAAGGTTGCATACAAAACTCTATCAGGCGTATAGGACACAAGTGAAAGATAACTACTAAGAGTGCAGAATGCTTAGCAATAAAGTAGACAATATGATCGCTCAACAGCATGATCGATATCCAAAAGGTCATAGCACAATAGCAAGGCATTACTACTGCACTCTACAGTTTCAATTAATTCTACTGTATGTAGCTAAAAGCTGTGGATTGTGGACTTGAATGTCAAGTCGATTGTAATAATAATCATATAGTAAAAGCATAGAGATATCAAAAAATACCTTTCCCAGTAAAACAGAGTTTATTTGCTTCAAATAGTCAGCGATATGAAGAGGAAATGACAGACGGTATCAACACTAACAAACCAATAATAAGCTAAGAAGAAAGATGGTCGATCTATATAGATCCAAAAGATCGACGAGTATATTAAGCTGGATTGTTTGCACCATAGAGGTCCAAAAAAAAAGGCATGCCTCTAACCGTGACTAAAGAGAGAACCTCCATACAGTAGATTGTACCATGCAGCCGTATTTTAATTCATTTTGGATCGTTAGCACTTCTAGCTACAGTAGTATTTTAGGAATCTCAAAAGTCCATGCAGTTTTACTGACACTGTATTTTATGAAATAAACAGTCAGAATGCAATGTACACTTCACTAGGGACTAAAATAGCTACAAAAGAGTTACTTTATTCTACGTAGTCAGTCCATAGATGCAAAATATTGTCACTTGGTTAGGTTGTATCTGCCCACTAATTTTATCCAGGCATCATAACCTCTCCAGCCTACACATTTTACTGTACTGTACACTGTACAGTACAGTACAGTACAGTACTGTACATCATAGCAACAAGAATTTTTTCAAACGGAGAATGTACTGTATTAGTAACTTGAACACATTTTATGTGCTTTTAAATTACATATTCGCATAAAGCATCTTATTTCCAATCAAATGATACCAAATTTGTCTAATAAGGACTTGAAACTATAATTTCATATCATTTCAAACAGTGGGAAATGCTTATGAGACACCCTGTACTGTAGATATCGGAAAACAAAAGAAATTGCACTGTACTGTATTGTACTGTACGAATGTACTGTACGTGGCGCGGATTTCAGTCCGTCAAAAACAAATGGCCGAATTTAGAATATCTGTTGGACGTGGCGCCAATTCGTCTTGCGCGAGTACTAAAAGTGCGTCAATTGACAAAATTTTTAGATATTATCGGTATGTCATAGTTGACATCTCATTTGAGAGGGGGGAAAGCAAGGATTCAAGCAGCCTTTGCTATACTGTACTCATATGGTCTACTGGTAGTAGTACCACCAGTCCATTCTCCGTTGTCAAAAATTCTTATACCGTTGTACCATGATGGTACAGTGTCCAGTACAGTCTGTACCAGTGTACACTACTACATTGGAATCAACAATAGGATTGTATGGAGCAATGATTGGGGCTGAGTACAGTACTTTATTGACATGCTTTATAGCTTCGAAAATTCCTGCACCTCCATTTCTACAGTATGCCTCTATCGGGCAACTTCTCTCTCAGATGTTCCTACTTTACTTTACTGCACATACTGTATATTTACGCTGAGTATCTGAGTAATCGGGGTTATTATGGCTGGGCCTACTGTACAGTACTGTACAGTAAACTACAGTACGCGTGAGTGCTTGCTTTGACATACAGCGCAGTAGGTACAGTATGGACAACAGGAGTCCCGAGCAGTGTACAGTACAGTACTATGCAGCATTATACTGTACTGTACTATACTGGATCAGGTGGTCAATTCATTGTAGCGGAGAATCGGAATTATTCATTGCGACTTGTTCTATCATAATATTGCTACAAAATTCGATCAATCCTTGACGATGTCGGCGTGGAAGGTTGCTTACCTGCGCCTTCTGCCTTTTCAGGTATATTTATATGGTTATAACAACGTAATTGTGTGTGTAATGGCAATATACTTTACCAGGAGATTCGTGCAGAATCGACAATTCTAATCCAACAAACAGTATTGCAGTACGTGTCCACTAGAATGTGCTTGAAATGACACACTTTGTTCATGATCAATCGTTGGTATAGGTTTCGAGGTATCAATTTTATCGTTGGATCCACTTTTTCGGTCCTCGACTAACACGATCGACTAATCCACCTCTCCGCTCTCTAGCATCGTACACCACACAAGCTAAGGTAGGATCGATTCTTATAGAAGAATAATGATATAATTTTATCATCATGTCATGAAATAATAGGAACAATTGTTAACGCTCAATGATTCAAAAGCGACTTTATCCAAGCATATCCAGTATCGACTATGCTAAACTCCATGTTGTTTCTACATAGGGGACGAGATCTACTACAACCGATGATACTAATGAAGAATCAAGGGAGCATAAAATTGGGAGATTTTTAACGAAGATCATGCAATTTTTCTCACCTAATCGTGTAAGTTATACATCCTGCGATATTGGTGATAAAACATATTAGTGTACATGACTTGCACAATTACTTTTTACAATCTGCAATCACTCCACTTTTAATGCATCAACTTGGCTACAAAATGCTAAAACTGATCCTTTCCTCTTTGTTAGATCCTGCAACGTAGCGCTCTCAACCTATATCACAGTTGTGTCGACAACATAAATTATTCCGATTTTTATAAAGGTAATCAATCGATTACTGATAACCCAGCTTATCATTCATGCACAAGACTAGTTATTAGAGTTGATCTTTGTAGATGATATGGTATATCAATAGCATTCTATTACTGATAATGTTTCAAAACGCTTTCTCATCGGTTATAGTATGCCAACTACCAGATACATTCCAGTCATGGTTTTTAATCAATCAATTACATGTTTGGTAAGTTAACGACGTTTCAACTCGATTTTTAGAATGGAAAGATACGCTTCCTGGAAAAGGTCTTACCAATGACTAGCTAGCATGTACAATTTAGCGACAAAAAGTTATTTAATAGAATAATATAATTTGTAGTAGAGCACATTTGACTATCCAATGCATAGTGAAAGCTATTTTAATACGCGTTTAATTACCCGATTACCTATCGACAATGAATACTGTATTTGTATATAGTTGAATTATACATATATATGATGCGGACATTGCTGAGAAATATATTCGAGCTATAGCACGTTCAAACCTCAGCTTAAATTTAATATGATGGTAGTAGACTAAGCACTTGTTGATACTAAGGAGGGAAGATAACATCAATAGAATTACTAGTGTAATAATTGACCAATGTTAGTTAAGTGAGTGATAATCATTTCAATTTTTGTCTCTATGGTACGTATCTTCTCTAAGGATGTGCTTGGTAAGACTGAAGCAAGAAGGTTCAGATGGGAAATATGCTTATCAGCAGCTAGTAACGTTCTTCTGGGAAGATGTCGAATCTCGAATCTATTCAATAGGGGTAAGATAACTAATTTTACTGAATAGATGTAGAGACTACTGCGCAATGATACCGAATCGTAACAACTCAAGACTTAATTATTATAAACTTAACTTCTAGGTCAGCTCTACTTCTGCACAAACTAGTGAATTATTAAAAGAGTTTTATGGCATGACCTTTGCTTATGATGAGGTTAAAAATTACGTCAAGAACAGCTTTCAAAACATTACATCGAATAATATCTTGGATTAAAACCCTACAATCTGTTAATATTGTTATTACATTTAGGGTATTATGTCAAATGATCGAATATTAGCTGCTGCTCTATGGAGGTAGATTAAAAACGATGCCAAATAAAACAATCTCTTAATTTCTCCATATTTATCTGCTAGACTGTACGACTAATTTATATCTGTGCCATTTTAGGAATCTATTTTCACACACCAGTGCTCGTCATGATGTTATTAGTCTAGTTAAATTAGTAGAATACGTCCGTATGCAGGTCAGAAATCTATGCGTATCAATGCTTTATACTTGTACATACGTAAGTTGCTTACAGTTTATCGTGTAATTGAATAAAACCCGTTGGGCTTATTTTGATTGCAGGTCAAATACTTGGATGAAATCAAATCGGAACATTTGTTAAAAAATGGAAAAATTGAATGGCTTCCTTTGCAGCGTTAACATCATGTCATTAAAGTCGCTTTATATGAATAGGCCTTTTTTGTATATACTCCTTTGTATTTAAACAGTTTCGCACTATGTGTAGTTGATAAATGTCTATACTATAACTATTGCAATGCACAAAGTATCATCCGTTTATCAACTGATGACTATTTACTGATCTATATTTTATCATCTGTTCTATGAGGTTGGGATAATATAGGGTATTACGCATATTTTTGAAATAAGTTACGCAACCTCATTATGTGCATTACATGAACAGCCCTTTTTTGACTATTGCTGCTGTTATATTATAAAAGTGGATAAAAGTATACTGTGTGCTGCCAATAAACATTGTCGTCAACCGTGGAGACTTACTGGTGATATTTTAAAGATTACAAATTTTTAAAATTAATGAGATTTATGAATAGACTTCGCGAAAAATCTTGCAAGTTAGTTATGTTTTTATTTCTGTACAAACATAATACGTATAAGTGTTTGAAATCCAATCCTACCCTCATAAGGGAATTCACGTTTAGCACCCTCTGTACGTATTACTGTATATTGCAACTTCTTAATTTCTGAACGTTAAAAATATGTTTTCAGAGTGATATAATAATCACTTTCATGGGATACCCATTACTAGTCATAATTATATCCGAATTTTACATACAGGTCTAGTTACACTGTATGCTAACTATAACTGTATGGCTAATCAGTGCAGTACCACAGTTTGATTAGCTAGTCGATTATGAGCTCATCTTAATAGATATTAAACAGCCACCCTTTGAGATATGATATTAATAATGAAAGCGCATAAAGTTAAACCGATTTTTTCTATCTTAAGAATAATTTTTACGAAGGAAGAGATGTATCATGGCATAAAAATAATACACCCTTGCCGTAGTAGAGTAAATAGAAGAATTGTATCGATCAATTATTATCTATCTATCTTCCAGAGGTGCATACCTAAAGCCTAGGTAAATTAGTCCAGAATAAATAATTACAATTAGCCATTAATAAGTTTGAGTTTCCGATTTAAGATATTTAAAGTAGCATATTGTTAGATAGCTTGTTATTTTACCGATTGTTGAGCTTCCTTTGTCTACTATTTCATGATTTCCACGTTCTATAGGAAAATGCTCATCTGATTTATCAGCAAATGAAAACAGTTACATTGAATCTATCTTTAGTAAAATTTCTAAGAGTATTGGCTAGGCATATTAACAATGCAAAGTAATGTAGAATCTTAATGAAACTTACTAGATGTTGGTGCCCAGCCTGCTTCACTAACGTCTGTATCATCAACTTCAGATTGAGTTTTTCTCCAAACATGGCGACTGTTATCTTCAAATGTAAAAGTACGTGTGGAATCCAGCCTATTTATTGGATTTGATTCACTTCGGCTACTAATTTGACGGTCGTCTGGCCTCGAAGATTCCTAATTAATTCCATTTATGTTAATGTAAATCGAGATTAAAATTGTGCTACAAACTAGCATCTTCGTAAGTAAGAATACAGGAAAGCTATAACTTTGATAACTTATTGAATTATTTTTATTCTTTGCATCATAAACACTGCAAAATGTAATTAATCAGACGCGAAATAGCGTTGATATTAGATGAAATGTTGGAGTAATAAACTTGAATCCTTATCAGCATACAATTTTAATATAAAATTTATGCCATCATACACTTTACCAGTTATGATTTAGAAAGTAAATTAATGGCTATATGACGTTGTATATTGCAGTTCACTGTAACAGAAGCAATTAGATAAACCACTTAAAAATCTCTGCTGTGCGAATAATATAAAATACTTCTAGATAAAATCTAAATATTAAACTGAAGTATAGTTTAATTTCATCGATACATCCTTTTATCCCTGTGCTCTATATTAAGGTAAACGTATCCTTCTAACTGAAGATTGTAATTTTAAGGTAATAGCGTACTACACTTAAATTCCCATAACTTCCGTTATTCTACCTAAGCATGTGCAATTACGTCACTAGGGAGTAATGCTACAATTAAATCTTAGTATTCTTTCCCAATGGCTACTTGGTATATAAAGGCTCAGTTATTAAGAGCGAATAAGTATGCTATTAATTACATTACATAAACTATAATACGGTTAGTTTTTTCTACGGTATCATATGAAGCTAGCTATTTTCTACTACCTGGTCGGGTGTATAGTCAGTTCTAGCAGTGTTTGTGGATTGTGCAAAATCTTCAGCACTACGGTAGCCATAACGGCCTTGGTCGAATACACTGCTCTGAACAGCTCTACTTCCACTAGTCGTCGAGAAGGCTAATTATTGCGATTAATAATGAAATTAATTGGATTAGTCGATGAATAAATACAACCACCACTTTATAAATCACTTAGCGCGATTACACTTATTACGAATTACCATCATCATCTTGATTCGACTTCCATAATGGCTAGACAAATTAGTAGTAGGGAGAGCGGTTGTGAGCGTTACATAGTTGATAATGGATAGAAGACGTAAATAAGAGCAAAACTAACAGATGCAGTGGTAAACTTACTTGTGATATAATATGCGATAGACTGTTAGTATCACTGACTTGACTCCTAGCTGTAGTTATTTCATAATCTTCGTCATCTTGCTCTAATAATAATATAAACCCATTCGATTTAGCAATTAAGACAAGCTAAGTATATCTATTCTCTAGTTAGGTACATAACAATACTGACTGATTTTTCGAAAAATTAATCAAATTTTCTGAACTAATGATACGGTTTCACATTAATTATAAAACCATCAATCAATTCGTGCATTTAAATTTATCTCAGCTTAAACTCAAAGCTTCTATTAACGATTAGATAATTCATCAAGTGTAATTTCAAACGTCTAGTTTATCTATATCACTGTAAAGTAAGAAAGAGCTCATTATACAACTACTTACAGCTATTAAGGAAAAGTAAACTATAAATTAGTTTAAATAGTTACAGATACTGGCCTACATACGATATTCATGTAATAGAATTTAAAAGCTTAGTGGTAATATACTGTTTACAATAAATAGTTTGATCTCCTTTAAACTATATATAGCATTTTAAAGAATAAATTATAACGGTATCTTGCAACATAGGATATTTCTTGCAAGTCTTTTATGCGATTACGGAATCAACTACAAGAAAGAAAATATTACCTTTCAAATTTTCCTGTGGATCTTTATGCTCTATCATTCTAAAGTTACAGAGAATTTTCCAAATGTTAATAATGTTAAAATCTTATCAACCGATAGTTAGCCGCTTCTTAAAGCTACAGGGGAATTAGTCTAACCTATTAAATTGACCTTGAATAATAGATTGCATATTTAAGCCTCCTTGTCTATTTATAGCCTAAAGATGATAGAAATAAATAATTGTTACAAGAAATTTATCTTAATTGTTATACTAATCGCAATAAGCAGGAACTAGTCTAGTCTATTAATATAAAGGGATCTTTAAAACAAATTTGCTAACCTTTCGTGTAGCCACAGGTGCATTTAATCGCCTATTTCGAACCCTCGTTACGCCTTCTTCAGCTAAAGCCGCGGAATCCTCTGAAGTTAAAGACAGTTTTTTCTTACTATCATAGCTAAGTGTTAACAATTTATAGCATTTATACAAGTTATGATACAGTATTACTTTAATAAAGGTCATGCAAGACCATAATAAATCTCAGATTTTATAATAAGGACTAAAAATGCTGCCACAAAAATACTAGCCAATACTTATATTACCCAGTAATTCGTGACTATCGTCGTATTCGTCGTCATTAATAAAACTTTGTTGATGATAGCTTTGATTTTCTATTCTATTTCCTTCTTGATTAACTAATTCCTAAATTTTCCGTTTCAGTAAAGATTTACATATGAAATTTAATAGAAGCAATTCACTCTATTACCAACTTTAGGTCAACTAATTCGTAATATCCAAATATAGGATTGAATAGCTAATTTCATCTTTTAAGTATATTAGTAAATTTACATACTTGTAGCTGCTTCTTATGGTTACTTTTCAACAATTTAACTTGCTGATATCTTGCAGCTCTAATATGAATTGGCAAGAGAGATGTAAGCAATAGAGTCTAGTTAGTTTGCAATAAGTGTTTTTTTGTCGTAAATTAAAAGATGATACTTACCGTTGTTTATCAATTGAAGTTGTAGGTGTTGATAAATCATCATAATATTTGCCATGATTTTTGAGCTCATCAGAAAGTAGAGAATCACCTTTAGGTAATTTTCGATTTGAAATAGATTGAAGAGAATCCATCAAACCCTATTCAGAATGGTTTAAATGACTATCAGTGCTAACCATTATATCATTCAATTCACATCCATGTATGTAATAGGTACATCACAGTCATCTTAATCATATTAAAGTAAAAATATTCAGAAAAAGGTATATGAAAATCTATGATATCATGTCCTAATTTTTGAAGAACTTACTGCCGGTAAATTTTTTGTATTCCAAGTTTGAGCTGTGTAAATCGAAATTTAAGTCATTTATTTCACAGAATTTGGGAATAAAACAAAATTATCGTCAAAAATAAATAAGATTAATCACAAAATATGAAATTGAACTAGTCAAATAAAGGCTCATCCCAGGACTATTAGTCTAATTGCAGCAATGCTAGATTCTGAGATCTTATGATGAATGCCATGCAGTACTCAGCATATCAAACAACTTACGCCGTTCTATAGATTTACTTTTTTTCATTCTATTATTAAATAATCATTGGATAATGAAGTAAAAATAGAGTTTAGTGATTTATATTGATAGGAAGGTTATCATAAAATTAAGAAATTTTAGATTAAAATATTACTAATTATTAATTTAGTTGCTGACTTACGTTGTTGAAGATGTCATCGAAGTTTGACTGAAGAAGGCATTCAATGGATCGCCTTTGCTACTTTTATCAAATAACTTATAATCTGGATAGAAAATTAAATATGGCTATAATCTTACTGTTTGTCCGAAAGCATTATAAAATCACTATCCGATTACTTTCTTCTATGGATTAATTTAAGAGTTGGCAGGAGGTAAATAAGATATTCATTTACGCATTTTATCTACGCTATAAATTATGTATTCACGTTGATCAGATCAACTAGAATCGTTTTACTGGTGTGCAGTATTATATAACTAGTGCAGGATAAATTTCAGTTAGAACATGTGTTTTTAAACTACGATATTGCTGATATAGGTTACATATAGAAGTGAACTCAACCAGTATTTGTGGCACCATCATAAAAAAATATGTGTGAGATCAGAAGGCATACAAGGATTGCCTGTAACAGCATATTTGATAATGTATAACCTGGTAAAAGACAGAATGTGCTTCTAGTCTTGCTGACTGTATACTAAAATTAGCATAATACATTATACTCTTGGTGATAAAACGAAAAACCTAATATTATTAGAGATTTTAGTGCAGCCTAATTTTTAGTAGCAAAAGCAAAATATCAATCGATCAAAACTCTGTAGACAGAAAATGAGATAGTCTTTAAATCTTTTAAGGTTAGTCAATCTTACTTTGATTGTCAATATCTTGTTCGCCATCATCGGAATAACCTTTTCTGGTCTTAAAGCTATCGGATTGATTGACTTTATGACTAGACGTTTTAGTACCACTTAGCCATGGTCTATTATAATCACGAGATCGAGAGCCAACAGCATTCCCATCCGTTAATCCTACTGTTTGCCAGTCCTGGCTGTAGGTTGTATTATTCAATCGAAAGTCAGAACTTTTTCCTAAATCAAGGCAAATTAGATTTATTTCAGCCTGCATTTTAATGTATAATCATTATTTTTACAAGAGCGGGCGATAAAAGTGGAAAGATATCTATAAAGATAAACTTAGTTATACAACTACTCTATAGCTATACCATGGCAAATACGTGGAGGTGTAATTTTAGTTAAGGTACCTAATGGGGTTCCACGACTTTTCTTATGTTGACTAGGTCCACTTCCAGTCTGTTGTGGTTGAATACTTCCCCAACCTTGATAGCTATCCTATACCAGATAACAAATTATGTTACAAATAAGCGAAATGTTGATAAAACAGAATTACATTTAAGTTAGTGCAATCTTTATGTCAATATGATATAATCATTCATCTGTTTCCTAATTTCAATCCTGTAGAAAATAAGCTATACAAATGGAAAGCAAATTCTTTTACCTGACTTCCTTTGGATTTATCATCTAATTTTTGTAAATTCCTAATCATAAACTTAATTGGATCTGGTGGTGTTTCGCGAACTATCTTTTGCATTAAATCCTAGAACAGAACATTAATTATCAATATTGTTAATGCGTTATTCATAAATGCTGAACAATTCTATCTCGAATCAGTAATTCAATGACAACAGTTAGGCTTGCTTAGAACGACATCCATGTAACTGAAATTGGCGCCATTGGTTAAAGGAAATATGCATTTCAATGTGATTAACGTTTCTTACAATAGAATATCAAGGCTAATATTTTAATTTCCGACTAATAAATAACTATGAGAAATGATAAAATTAAAATAAAAGTTTTGAAATACCTCTAAAACAGAGCTAATACGATGCTTTTCTAAATATAATTCGATATTAACGTTAGAAGCCATGGCTGTTATGACCGTTCTATTCTATCACTATAGTGAAGACTATTTATCAAAAGGCTAAATTCTTCTTTCTTCACCTCCTACTAGAAATCTTTTACAGTTAATACAACGTGAACTATTAATCAATAAAGCTATCATACTGATTTAGAACTCTGTTGTTAAGCACTACCCTCACAGCAAAAGATATACAATGACACCATTATCTAATATGGCAACTAGATTAACGAATCATAGATTTGTTGTAGCCAATCGATGGCTTGGATAATAATCACATGATACTTGGCAAGCAGTTTTGTTTTAATTGATATTTATTGCTATATTATAAGTAATAATTCTGATATAGCAGTATAAAAGCTAAGTAAGTGTCAACTTTAAGTTCATATCCGTAATTGCTATCCATTAAGATTACAGGATAAGAACGGTACCCTTAGTTCACGGTTAATATTAATTTATATGATTTTTATCATTATGAAGGTAGAATATCACGTTTTCGTGTAATTGATAACGTTTGCCACGCCATATACAATTAAGGTAGTTTGATGAAAAATTGAGTGTTTTCATCGATCTTAAATTTTGGATTGTATTTATTTTAATTATAAGGTATCACAAATAATAATTAGTTGATCATGGCTAATTAATGCAGTACCGGTAGTCTACTTCGATAACAGCAGGATTGATCTGGCATTGTATTAAATCTCTAGTAATATTAAATCCCATTTACCTAACATTGTAATAAACAGAATTGGTAAAGAGTGTTATATTGTATATTTCTGTTCTAATTAATTTTCGAGTAAATGGAGTGATACTACTCAATCGATTTTCTGCTAACAGCTATCCTATCTAAAATGAATAGAGTTGCTGGGTAGTATCGTGATATACGTGATATTACAGTTACGATTTTGAGTAAAAGGAGTGTTATAAGCTACCACATTAATTTTTCTAATAACTTTTACTCTATTTGAAAATGAACTGCTTTGCTATACAGTATAATGATGTTCTTGTATTGCCGTTATAATTGATTTTTAAATATATGGAGTGTTGTTAGCCATCATCAAAGCTATATAAGAGTATAAATTAGTAAATAACTATAGTATTGAATGTATCATTGCGATTGTCAGTATTTATTATTGTTACGGTTTAAGATATTTTAATTAACATTGTGATAATGTTATTGAAGTAAAAGTAGACGGTTACGTTTAGATAATCGTAAAGATTATGATCTGTTGAAAAATTGTGAGGTTCAATCGTTAAAGGACTTCCATTAACGAATGTGTAGAAGTAAGGTACTCAATATGCCAATGACGTGTAATAACCAAAATGGCGGTTGTCACACGTGTAGGGAATCTGTTAGATCTTAAACAGGATTTAAGTTGTTAATTGGGGCTATAATATTATTAGCGCATAATATCAATTAACATATATTTGTCCGATAGTAATTAATAGGATTACAAAGTTATAGAAAAGACTAAGTTATGTATAAGAATAATTAACAGGTTGCAAAGGTGTAGAATTGATACAAGTATATAAGAGGTTGTAATTTACCTCGCTGGAGAGGAGGAAAATACGGAGACCTAATAAAGTTAGTTTAGTAAATTTATCCAGACGCTTCTAGTCCGCCTTTTACTGTTGACTGAGGTCCTTCGCGGAAGTAGAGTGAGTAGTGACGCTTGGTGGCAGTTTTACTGTATGACTGAAGAGAGTAGGATAAGTGTGGAACGGGAACTCGATTGTTGCAAACGACCTTGTGACAATTATAGTTAGTTTTAATTGTGATGATTTATTACTGAATTTTTAATAACTTTGAACTTGTCTATATTGTGACAATTATAGTTAGTTTTAATTGTGATGATTTATTACTGAATTTTTAATAACTTTGAACTTGTCTATATTGTCCATTTAATTCATAGAGTGCAATATACAGAATTACGTTATCTGCGACTATTATAATTAATTTTTCTATTAAATGGAGTGATATAATAAATAACTGCTATTAATCTTTTGACCATGTATACTTCATCTAATCAGTTTAAGGATATAATTAAATAAGGTATCTAATTATATAGTAGTAAGATATATTATATCATTTGGGAAGACAGTTTTATAATGCATGTTATAATCTTATCAGCTAGTCTACTTGTTACGGCATTATAATTAACATAACGAGAAAACATAATTAGATCATGTTAAAGTATAGCGATAATGGATATCTTGTGTTAAGATATAGTGATAATTGATAGTTAGTATTAAAACATAGTAAAAATAGCATAGACAAATGGATATCTTCAGCTAAGATATTATGATAACCGGTGTTTTGGGTATGTTAATATACCTACGTGTTAGATTAACTAGTAATGTAATCAATTTGTAAATTTAGAAAGTGTATATGCATATTTTGAATAGCAAATAGAGAGAGGGAAAGAAATAAATAAATTTTTTTGCACATCTTCTATTACTCATTTTTATAGGCTTAGCTACGATAAACTACTAGGCAATTATCTACAAAGTATTATGAAGTTACTTGAGTAGAAGCGCCTAACGTTATGTTCATTGGTAGTGTATACAGAAGCTATACAACATTGGTAAGAGAGCAGTGAAAGTTTACAACGTAAAAGAAGATTTAGATACTGTATAAATGTCTACATAATTTGCATAAGGCATTACGTGAAGAACTACGTTAATTTCGTCATTACATGTAATATGTTATTATAATTGTAATTAATGCTTACTATTTTATCTATTTGAAAGAAATATTGATGTTTCAAAATCACTAAATTATAGCTTGAGTTAGATTTTGAAACTGGGTATAAGTTATTTGAATACTGTACTGTACTGTGATAAAGTGTCTTCTCAAAAATACAACACGAACTACAGTTTCTTGTAAACTTCACTTTATTACATAAGATCAGGTTCATCTCACAACTACCAAGAACTATCTAAATTATCACAGCAATGTTCACAATTTATATGCAATTCGTTACACAATAATTTTCTTTCAAGCACTATCATATCTCACCAATTAAGTTACAAGTTCACATCTAAATTTACCATCACGCTATAAATTCATAATTCGTGCTTCTAATAAAAGCGTTACAATACAAATCTCACAGTACTACATAATTAGCGTCATTATTATCTCAGAGTCTAAGCATCTCAATACAATTACTACTATACATTCCGTAAACATCTTCCGCAATTAGAAACTTATACAGTCTTACGATCTAGCGTACAATTTATCAATTTTCGCATTATTCCATAATTTTAGTCTTAAGCTTATTTGGGGCTTCACTACGTGTACATATCGCCTACATTCGCATAATAAGTCATTAGTACCTTGTTCACCTTTTATTGATGTACTACTGAGTACCAATAGTGACTCAATATCCTACCGCACTTTGTTATCTGTATTCTAACATGGAATGTTCATTTACAATCTCCAGTTACGGGCTACTAAATATGCCTTATGATAAATTTAGTAAACTTAGCTATAGTGCATTATAATAGACATGGCTAATCTATAAATCCAATATTGAATTACGGTAAGTTAAACACGTCAAAATTTACTTCAATCAATCTTTAATCTACTATGCGTGAATATTATGGTGTATTTAGACTTCACTGTAGTCTTTAGCATATTCTGAAATGTAGACATTTTGTGTTGGACCGAATATAGATAGTTTTACAGTCTATTTCTACTATATTCAAGTATAGCTTTTATGTTTAGTTATTTATGCATTGTAGTGAAGCCCCGAATAAGCTTAAGACTAAGATTATGGAATAATGCTAAAATTAATAAATTATACGCTACTCTGTCTGTTTAAGGTAAATTTCATATCCGATTCTATAATCCTGTTCTCTGCATGTGTTCTATCTCTTAATCTATAAATACTGATGATTTCTGTCTTAGATTTATCAGTTGCACTAGTCACAGTAGTAGTAATTCCTCACCTTACTTCACGACAGCTTACACCCTGATTTACCGTAATTACCGCATTGTACCTCCGTTACCACCTACAATAAGGTATCTACTTTCATTAAAACCCCTTGTATAATTTTTGTGAATAGCTACTAAGTCCGCAGCTGCTGACTCTTCGAATCCTTCGTCACAAATAAGAAATACAGTATTCTAAACGCAATCACTGTCAACAGATTCTTAATAGATTTTGCATAGGTGGGATAAGTAAGTACGTTAGCTTTTATTAAATGAGTCACGGTTAAACATAGGTACGGCATTAGTTAGGACACAACCCGAAATTACCATTTGGATTTATTATTCGGATTATTATAACATTGAAGTATCAACCTTTGATTTTTACATCTACGAGATTAAGTCCTGGAATGAATAAGACAAAAAAAGAGACTATACCATAAAGCAGTGCTGGGATCTTTTACGAATAGCAAATAAGGTTACTTCAGAGCTACTATAAGTAACGTTTGCTTCTTAATCTCTAATATTGATACAGCACACTAACTATACATTCATCGAATGGCTACATTGCAATAATACTTTCTAGACATCACAATTTCCCTTTGTAAAGCAATGAATGTCCAGTATAATACTGTCCTCATTAATAAATGGAATCAGTACTGCTTGTTTAGGATAAACACCGTTTAGCACTTGAAATGATGTTGACATTCCATTGAATCCATAGCTATAATTTATGATAGATCTTTTCCCCAATATAGTTACTATATCTGTAGAGGGCATTTTTTATCTTTCAATATGATAAACATCATGTCATTAAAAACTTGTTATAATAATTAATTATCCAAGACTTTATTATCAGGACAGATGATGAGATATGCGTATGTAATATAAATCATCGCCTAGAAATCAATACACCTGTTGATCACTATTATGTTTACTTGATTTGATACTAGCAGATTTCTTTATTATTTTTTTCTGACGTATGTTACTGATAGTGAGCAACACTTGTTATGTTTACCTTATCCGTCATATTCACAAATGAATAATTTTTTCCAGTAAAATAGCCGTACTTACTAATTCTTGCAGTATTATTTATTATCTCCTGTAATTTCTGAAAAATCTACGGATATCTTACATCAGGAAATAATAGAAATCCTTTAACAGAGATAAGTTATACCTTACAATCTTATTCCAGTCCGTTATTCAATCAGCAACCAGCTAAGATGCAACCTCAACCTCTAGCTCATACTTACATGAATATCTTTTCGATCCATGTCTTTGTCACTATAGCAACTGAAACATCATAATGACGAGGGTACTATAAAACTCTATTATCCTTATTTTTTTAGACGTCAATATTGTCTTATGTTTACGTTAAACATATTGTAATTATTAATTAACGAATTAAGAAAGTTAACCTTTAGATCGATCTTTTAAATTGATGATATTGTCATGATAATGCTTAATTAAGCTTATCCTGTACTGTTATGCATATAAATAAGTCACAGTCGCCACCTCGTTGTTTGCATCGATTCTGCGCCTCTACTTAGATCAACGGCTGCTGCAAGGTGGACAATCACTTCTATTCATGTATCTTAAACTCCAGGAAAAGAGAATAAATGATGGAAATTATATTGATAAAAGAACGCCAGTCCATTAATTCATATTCTATAAGATCAAATTGCACCGTAGGAAACAATTAACGAATCAAATCATTACAATTTCACAATCGATGGGCTTCAGCAACATGTCGCCATTTTTTGTCTTCTACGACACCAAACGTTAAATGGTTAACCTAATAGGAATAAACTTACAGTTTTTTTCAATTTAACAACTATAACCGTTGCATCATTATCATCGATCAAGGTTAGATAAAGAATTATTATACATTTTTAAGCCTTTAAGTCATTTTTTTCATCACTCTTTAATATTTAATTCACCAAATTGCTTCCTGATACCATATTGTCTATCAGTATTCGAATTTCCATTGACAACTTATAAGTTTGATTGTGATTATTGCGCATATTTTCTCGTTCAGAGTTTAATCTGATGTGAAAGCTTTTGAACTGCTGATGCGATATTTTCGTCAAAGAGTCAGCGTAGTAATCAACTACAGAGTAAGGTAACGTTATAGTCCCGGAACTTATCCAATTTTATTCTCATACTTGAGTTATAACAAGATAGGAATACGTCGATACATCTGTTATATGTAATTATTTCTTTTATTTCACAGCACGCATAGTATCTTTTATCATACATTTTCATGATTTGATCAATTAATGGATGGCACCATACATTATTTGTTGCCTTTATACATTTACGGATTTCAATTATGATACCAGAATTGCTATAGTACTATAGCTTAGAGTCACTATCATAAAACTTTACACTGTATCTTAATTTCACTTGCTTCATTATAACTAGACTTTAGACTATTTAAGATATTCATAACAATTTAGTGAATATTGCTAAAATATATAGTAATGCTACTAGATCTAGAGTGTAGCAAATAGCTCATCTAAGGATTTGTGAGTTTAATGAACTTCGTAGGATAGACTTGATAGGCTCTACAATATAATTGTAATTATATTGGCTTTTCAATGGAAGATCTGGTCTAAATCCAATAGCGTATCTATCGAATGATCTATATCAGAGCAAGTGCTTCATACTCAAATCTTTAGTATGATCAAATGTTAAACTTCAAAGTTAGAGCAAAGTAATACTAATTACTAAACCCAAATACTTTACTCCAAAAGAAAAAAATTTCTGATGATTTCAAGTCTGAACATTTTTAAGAAGTTAAAATACTGTTGCAAGAGTCGCATATTGTATGCAATTGGTTCTGTAATACAGTACCTGGTCCGAACGAATTTTATAATTTGAAGACTCATGAAAGGATTAGCCTATACCTGCTCTACGGATATAATAAATATAATTGTTACGTGTATCCACTAAAGGAAAAACAACAGAACAATAACGAAAAAACGTCTTAAAATGGGATATAATAGTAAAATTGCCAGCTTGAATCCTACTACAGACATACAGCAGATTGATGATCTAAGAAATGCTATTGCAAAATATTCTAAAAAGACGAAAAAATTATGATATTATTCGTTTCTTATAAGGCTGAGTTATCATTAAACATTTGAAGAACTGTTATAATTAAGCTTGTGTCATCATTTGGCAATGCACTTACAGTCCATTCACTTTTATTAAACTTCGGCACCATTTTGTCCCGCTTATTCCTTCCTAATTTTCGTAGCTATAATCCATTATTCCAAGCTAGGCTGTGAAATACTTCTGAAATGTTAGCTAAGAGTAGTTTGATACTATGAAATATATTGTAATAGTCGAATGTGTATCCTGTAGAGTTAATTGAAAGCCAACGTGTTAAATATCAAATAGCTAAGTTATCTAGTCTCTTTACCACGAAATTCGCCAGAAAATGGTATTGAAAATTACGATATTATTCTTCCTATATTACGGGATTGTTTGGTTCTATTATAAATCATAAAAGTACAAATCCAGTATTCTGAAAGTGATCATACAGTTCCCTTATACCCGCTCGAGTAGACTTGTAAATGTTACTGTTTTACTGTCCCGGTTTGCAATAAAATTTTTAATACATAAGCGGTGAAAGTGCTATAATTTTATAAAAAAGACTATTTTTTGCGAATTATTAATTCGAGTTTTGAAACTAGCACATCTTGCAGTTTCATCAGTTCTTATTTGATGTAATCTACGCTTTTTAATTGTTCTTGCTTTAGGTTAAAAAATACGTATCGAGCTTAACAGATTCAAGTTTATAGTATTAACTTAGATAATTACTATACCCATGGTCTACTTAAATACATTGGTTTATTACTCTTAGCTTTGATAAAGTAAAGTATTATCAATTTTAATAGATTATTTCTTATTCTTTAGCCTGGAAAGTAACTAAAATAGCGCCAATTTTAGCCATAGCCAAGGAAGCATCATGAATAATTCTACAACTGGTCCAGTCGGACCGACACAATTATCAACACTGCAAATTACTTTCATAACATTATATGCTATACTTGGATTTATTGGGACAGTAGGCAATACCATTATCATAATTTCCATAATTACGGTTAAGAAAATGAAAACACCTATCAATATCCTTATTTTAAATTTAGCTTTAGCTGGTTTCCTTATGTCATTATTTTATATTCCAATATCAATGATAACTCAGTTTACGACAAATTATATTTGGACGCATGGTCAAGCTATGTGCAAAATTTATTATACAGTTACGTTATGGTCCGTCCAAGTCATATCTTATACTCAGGTCGCAATTTGTATTAACCGTTATCAAGGTATCCATCTCGTTATGAAAAAGAAATATCGTATGAATATCAAGACAGTTATGATTGTTAATTTAATTATATGGATATTTGCATTACTATTTTGTGTCCCATACTTGATGTATTTAAGGGTAGTACCGCAACGTAATAATATTACACATTGTCTCTTGGTTTTACCGTTAACGTCACTGGATTTTGCTATCGATGGAAAGTTTGTTAGTTTTTTCTATTTTATGTATGCTGCCAGCTACCTGTTAGTTGCTTACTTAATTCCATTCGTAATTATGGTAATGTTTTACGGCATTATTATTAAAGGTTTAAGGCAAAGAAGACTCAGTCGAGGTAATTTTAATAACGATAGGAATGAATTACATCGAAGCATCAGTATGCAACGAAAAGAGCGAGTTATCAAATTATTTATAGCTTGCGTTGTTATTTACTTTATTGCAAATCTGCCATATGCTATTTCGTTGTTGCTATTTATTATTCATAAGATATCATGGCAAATTTTTATTAGTATTCGCTATTATTTGACCATACTGCAAGTTTTTGGTGTTGTATCCAATGCTTTACTCTATGGCTATTTTAACACTGGTATACGTAATTATTCAGCTTCCATAGCATCTAAATCAATTCGTCGTTCTGCATTAATTACTCAAACACCGAATACTTCATTCAAGACGACATCATTAAAAACCAATTTTGCAAAACCTTTAAATGATTTTAAAATGGTTAAATCTCTCTCATCCCCAGCTTTGGTTCGTATTCAACGATGTAATTCAGGAAAACAATTAAAGACAGCTTCTAACGTTGTAACGGTTGTTTAACTGCAAGATACACCTTACTAAATATCAGTTTAACACAAACATGACAGCTATTGTTAACTGTAGGGTATTTTTAATCCATCAATTTTAATTATTTATTAAATGAACATTATTTCCAATTAATTAATCCATCTATGTAAATTAAACTTACTAATTGCTTCATGCATGTAAAATTTCGTAATTATAATTTGTACGGTTGCATATTAATATGATTCATTACCATACAGCATTATCTTTGTAGTTATTGTCAAAACAGTTGAGTTTAGATGCTGTTAGAATAAAAAAATATGGTTTTAAATATAATTATTTAATCAAAATATTGACTTTAGAATATTAATCAAAGAGTGTAAATCAAGCATAAAAATCTAAAGCCATTAATAATACCAATTAACTATGTTAATGTGGAATAATATGATATCAATCTGAATATTAGATAAATAGTTTGTATTTAAGGATAGGATTTACAGTACGTAACATATAATTAAAAACCAACTATTTCAAGTAATTCGAAATTATTTAAGAAAAAGGTTCCGACTATTTATCATGCTAAAGCAAATTAGTTTATGAACTCAAAACGAATAAATACAGAAACGAGCTCGTACTTTAGGCATATGAGGTTGATAGATCAAGAATCTTCAAAACTTTAGAAAATTAAGATTTATTGAACAAAACCTCGTTTACGAAGATACAACGTAATCGATTAGCTGAGGACCTCTAAAGAGAAAGAACTATCTTACTATACTAAACTACTCGCTTATATACTTTTCCGCGTTTACAGTCTTAGCACCTTACTTACTACACACTTCAGTATTAGCATCTCAAATACAGGATACTTTACACCTTTCATGTGAAGCTCTAGTGTGAGCACTGCAGCGCTCTTCTTCAAAAGGATTACAGGTACTAAGCTAGCTATATTTAATACTTAAGCCTCTAACGAGAATATCTATCACATGTTGAACACAACACCTACGGTAGACATTACTAAATATATCATCAACTTAGAATACAATATTACACTGTCTTGCAAGGCATTAGGTTTTGCCTCCTTTATTATACGAAATTAGCTACTATAAGTACAAGATAGGAATTAAAAAATAAGATTATACGCCAGCGTAGTAGCAAAGTAATCTTTTTCAAACATTATTCAGAATGTCTTATAATGAAATAATTTCACGTTACTTATATTAACAGATAAAACTAATCTAAATAGTTTAATATTGGTTAGGATATGTGTTCAATAACAAGTATTTTTGATCACTTTTAAGGAAAATTAAAATCTGAAAATGTTGAAAATTATTTTTAGTAGATATTGTACGTTCTAATTTATCAGACACAGTTTTGCTTCTGATTTGTGTATTTACCGAACTTTGCACTGAATTATTAGCTGATTATAAACCTAGATGAAAGATCAGTAGGTGGGAAAGTTAGTTACGGTTTACACCATTATAACACCTTAGAATCATAATATTTAGATATTTTCAAATTTACGCTTGCGAACCATAGGGTATCTTCAGATAATTGCATGTCAAAAGATTCAAAAATTGATACCGTCACAATTTTAGGCTTGTATCTAAATATCAAATATAGTAGTGAGATGCTTTATAAAAAATTTCAATGTAGAACTACATCACTGTTCAATTACCTTCAAGCAACGATACCGTATATTAATTTTTAAATATTTGTATACGTACCAGAAGTGTTAATGAGATTACAGAATTAATTAAGATAATATTTTTATCACTAATTACGGACTGATTTAAGGTTCTACGGTTCTGTATGCTCTGAATTAATGATAGAAAATATACCGTAAACATATTTGGTGAAGAAGTTTTTCGAAAATACGTGATAGATTTAGGTATTATATCATGTTTACTGTAAGAAAACAATACTACGCGTAATTTCCTGAAATAAATTCCTCGAAGGGATTTTCTGAGCTGTTTATTGTAACAATTAAAATCCTTCTAGTTAAATACCATAGATAAAAATAATTCAGACTAGGGTCTACTTATAGACGAAAAAGCACTCGATTTTCATGCCGCAATTTCCGAAAGGTAGATGTTGCGCTCACTAATTTTTGGTAAGTTATTGATTTGGAACATTAACTTTATTACTTATTTACTTTGCATTATACGTGTATGATAGGGTTATGCGAAGATATCCATATAATGAGATAGATCGAATTTATAGCGGAAAAGTTCTACGAATATAAAATTCACTAAGTATTGAAACTTGCTGAATACATAAAAAGTAAAATAGCACTCGCTTCCCTTATAGCATGCCCTCGAACATGTCCAGTAATTGTGCGATTTGTTTTAAATAATAAAATTTCTCTTTATATAGCAACGTACATCGATCAGAAATACAGATGTTATACATATCAATCAATATTGTTATATATAGTATGTTTTCTTTTATAGAATATACATTAAAGTTAACTATTGCATTATAGATAACTAATTGTGGCATATTATGAAAAAGGTATTACAGATGTTGTAAAGACAGATACCATATATAGAGTTGCTTATTAAAAGATTAAGGTTAACTATATATGTATTCTCATATTAATTTATATAATAAGACTGATTATTCTGATATGAGATAGGTACAAAAGATATGTTTGTTGCATCAGACAAGGCTCTTTTTAATTAATGTAAACTCTCGGCTTGCATGAATTGCTTATGAATGAGGGGAATACTATGCAATATATTAACGTTTAGCTTCAACAATAAAATTGTTCCTCATCCTCCTCAATAAGTCGTCCCATAACAACAGGATATTCTTATGATAAGAAAACGCTCTAGTTGCTCCTATTCATCGAGTAATTTTGCGTTTTAATATTAGATTGAAGACTGATTCTGGGTACATATGTTTTGGGTTAGGTTTAAGGTTAGATTAATGGTTACAGTTTACGGATAAATTTAAATACAATGCTAGTTCAGATATTAAAACGTAATGCCTTTGCTATTTTGAAAAGGAAGGTGTTCATATTATTTTTTATTTAGCTTAGATAACCACTATAATGCTTAGCATAAAAATATTAATGATACTTACTTACTTATTACGTCATTATCTACGATTATACACGATATACATACCTTAAGATTATTGCGAACCTTGTCCGCTGGGTTACGCTTATTGTCTCTCTACACGCTCATAATATACTTCTTGACTAAATATAAGCTTGATACACTTATTCAATTTAGTCTTCTTATCTGTTACGTCCATTCCGTCCCACCCTTAGAAACTCCTGGATTGTATACTTTCTCCGACGGATTACAGCTAAGATGGCCAACACGCCATCCGAAGCCAACTCATCATAATTAGATTTAATCAAATCTAGATTAATTTATCAGAGATAGATGTACGATATGCAAATCATAAAATTAGAAGTAATCGTGTATATGCTACGGCCAGAGATTGGCTAATTCTTGGAATTGACCATAACATATACATATTTTTCAAGAAAATAACCTTGAAATATATTCTTAAAATAACGTATTATTTATCTTAAATTAATTGCTTTTATTTTTCATTTTCTTTAATTCAATCTTTTAGACTTAAGACCAGCTCCTCTACTATCAATAATACAGTATCGATTGAAAAACGAAGATTGAAGTTTATTAATACAACATTAAATACAATATCTATGTATGTGTTTTGAAAGTCAATAATAAAACAATTACATTTTTCATCATTACAATTTCAAATATCAATAATGAAAATCAAAAGATTATTTTTTATATCCTTGAGGCTGGAATTTTTCAAGTATTACCGTTAGCAAATGATTTCGTGCCGCTCAAAATAGAAATATCTATAGAATTCTTAAATCTCATTATGAGGGTTCCAATTTAAGATCAGTTATTTTGATTATATATATGATTAGCATGAAACTCAGCCACTGGTTCTAGATATTAATAAAACACAAGTTTATGTTCATACTAAAGAGTCATAAATGCAATGTTTAAGCAGCCTGAATTTAATTTTTCTTCTAAACTTGCTTCTAAATATCTAAAATATTAAAATTTTTTCTTTATTGTATACTAATTTTATCTGTATTGACTATATAAAATATAATATGTTCTTATTCATAGCAAACAATGCTGAAAATCTGTAATAGAACCTTTTAATATAAATCCTTATAAATGTTGTAATAATGGCGTGAAGCAGCTTGATTGATTTGACCGTTAGTTTAAACTTATATAACTTTGTATGGTCCATCATTAATGAACTTAGAACACAATTTACATTTGAACGAAGGTTCATTTTGGAGCCGAAAAGCTTTCTAGATATCTAATTCTTATCGATACATCCTTTTCTATTCTACTCGCTCATTTATTTAATTGTTTCTATGTTTCGCTCCTCTTTAAGCATACATTATCCTTCATAATAATTTTTTAGGACTGCCTTTGTATGCTATATTCTCAGACTCGTTTCATTGATCAAGGTGCCCAGAAGGCTAAAAGTAATCTAGACAATCTTGGCTGAGTAATTATTTACGTAAGACATTTTCATTCGTGGATTGATCCAAAAGGTTAAGCATAAGTGATTTCTTTATTAAAATTTTTATAACTAAGTAATTTATCCAGTTCTATTTAATTATCTATACTAATTTCACACATTGTCATATCAAAATCCAGTTTCAGTTGCCTATTATGTTTAACAAATTATTACTATACGAGGTGATATCTATTAGCGCTATCCGCTTTCAGTAGCTTTTTCCGGAAATACAGATTTTAAAAAATTTTCGTTTCAATTAAATTTATCTCCTAAGGAATTCTATCTTGAAAATTGCTCCTTCATTTTACTACTAGGTAGGTATACATTTATTTCGATCTTCGAATTGATATCCACTCAAAATTAGTGAAATGAGAAAAATTTACTATAATTGGTTTGTTTAGTCTATTTACTATATAATTGTCAATAAATATTACCGTAGTTACTTTTTAATAGAAATTTATCCAAAATCATCAGCAATATAGAGTAGGATATTTTGCTTATGACGA